GGGCCTGCACGTTGGGCTTTTGCTAGCCCTGTCTGTGCCCGTGAGCATACGCTATACACAGTCCTGGTCTACGAGTGCCCTCATCTGACAATCCAACCGACGATCGTGGCTTGGCATCACCGGATGAAATTCCAAGACGGATCCAGCCTGGAGCCATCGCTCGCAATCCGCATCCGCGCCCTTCCGTATGAACTGCCCGGGCGGCACAACACCGCCATGCGCCGGGGAGCTTCTGGTCACTTTTACTCACACGCACCTCTGTTTTTCACACACATCCGTCTTTCCGGAGATCTTGCCTGTCGCACGGCTTCGTTTGCCCAGGTTTCGTCGAGCCTCTTCTGAATTTTTATCACTCTTTACCCGTTTCAGCCTTAGTCCTTGCCCACCGCACCCGTACTTATGCATCATCGTATGACCGTCACTGACTCATCTCCAGTGACGCCCAACGCGATGGATCGGATACTACGGAGTAGTCAACAATGTCCTGATATCTGATGCGGTCGGCTCGTTGACGTCATTGACATAGCTTCACGAAGTCCCTGGCTCTTGACCTCAGGATTACAATAGTCCCCAGTGACAAGTCTAACAATGGATGGGTAGAGAGGGATTTTCCGACTATGGCTATTGTGTGCTCTTCTCGAGGTCCCTCCCCGTCGTGATGGCCGTGCCTCCCCGCAAAGACTCAAGGCTGCGCAGCAATCATTGCCGTATTGGAATGTTGGACATCCGTGCTGTCAGGCCGACCACCACCAGCGGACCCGCCATAAAAATTAGGTCTGATAAGATCAAACCAATCCCATGGCCTGGATTCGGCACATCCGGCTCACTCGGCTTGCATTGCACTCTTCAGTCAATTCCCATCGCTATGTAGTATACAGAGTCTGGATGCGGTCCGGCATGGTTCGATTTATCCACGTCGCCCGAGTGTCCCCAAGTGTGACCAACGAACTGACATGTCAGCTGTTCAGGGACTTCCCCTCCCACATATTTACGACACACTGCCTCCAGTTCCTTTGACTACTGTCTAGTAGTGGAACCCCCCTCCGATGCATTGCCCAATCACTTCCCGATCGACCATTCAGAGCTCTCGTAAAGTCGGAGACTTTTCCTTCCATGTGGATTTCCGCTTCAACGTTGGCTCGGGTTGGACTGGCGAAAAAATTTGATATTGATGGGGTAAGCAAAACCGCCGGAGGGCGCCGTTCCATATTTCTCATGGCCGCATTCCTAAGCGGGAAAACCCATGACTCTACACTTGGCTATACTAGGCAAGTGACGAGAATTTCCGTGCCGCTCCCTCCGGCCTCTCTCCGATGTTGCCGCTTTAACCGGTCTCACGCATGCTGATACTGGTGTTTTACCATAGTCGGTACATCCATTGCTTTCATTATTTGACTAATCGAGAGCAGTACAGCAGAGCATTATAGCCAATTACCTACTAAGTCAGCTCGAATCACAACAGCCGGGTTCCTGCAATACCCGCTTCCTGCGAGATGGCCCAGTTACGCCAATCCTTGATCGGTCCCAACTAAGTAGGGTTCAAGGAATAGCTTTGCGTGGACACCTAGAAGCCATGAAATTTCCACTGGGAATTTCACTTTGTACAATCTGGGATGCCCATATTTCGAGATGCCGCAGACTTTACAAACTATCTAGAGCCGACATGGCATTGTCTACACAGTACTCCGTACAGGGTTACAGGCGTGTCTAGGCAATAGACAGGCAGTCTCGCTTCCTCCCGACGGATCTTCGGATATAACCGTGTGGAGTATTCTCGCCTGCATATGCTCCTTCTATCGAGGGATTACTTGCTCCAGCATGGTCCTCTTCTAGGAAGAGTAACCAAGATAGCAACTACCAGCTGCGCAAGGAGCCCATTTCTACAACGCTTTGGTCATCATTATGGACAACATCAAAGCCATCAGCTCTTCACAACATGTCCTACTCGAGCTTCCGTTCAGACCATCATAGTCTACATTCAGAGACCTTGGAGCATCGCGTGGCCTCATCTTCTGCAAAACAGAAACAGCAATCCTCAACTCTCAACTTTGTCCAGGCGCAAAACTAACTCAACCTTATACCCTTCTAAACGGGCTCATCCAATCCGACCTCAGGCTTTAAACCCGACTCCCCGTCCTACTCTACCTCAGTATATCCCCAAGTAAGGAATACAATGGAGTACCCGGAACCGCCGGCACGGAATATTAAATAGGCAATAGATAGCCAGCCCGATCCACGAGAGACGGGCTAATCTCCGACATCGACATCGTCACCGACACCGCAACTCGCACACCAATCAGCCGTCATCCTTTAAGCTACGTACGTAGGCCTTTACTGCAGGGTATCTGCTAGGTAGGTAAAGGGGCGGATAATCCCGCAATCGGGTGATTGGATATTAGTCTTCCCATCGGGAGCCGGATGTTGGATAGATTCTAGACTAGGATTAGCTAGGTAAGTGAATGGGTTATCTGATCCCGTACCTGTCTAGTTCCATCTAAATACTGGTGTCTCTTCTGGGAATATTACGTTCTCATTTAATGGAATGACCACATCTCTTGGCCGTCGATGATAATGGATATCATCTGCCGGAAGTACTTACATATTCTCCCCTGAAAGCGCGGTATTGCACACAAGAGTGGCTTATGCCAGTCCCAAGGACGTACCCATACCACAAGCATAGTATACTTCCTATATAGACCAACGAATATGGTTCCACCTCACTGCATCTTGCATTCTCGCATGGCATGTTTCCACATGTATGTACGTACGAACATAGGTAGATATCAGCTAACTAACTAACAACCTAGCCAACTAGTCACCTATAAGCATAGTCCTAAAATTTACTTCCTCCTGCCCCTGCCCCTCTACCTCTGTAGTAGCAGCTACCCGGTCCTTCCCAAGTAGACACCACATCTGAAACCTACAGTGGCTATGCGACGTCTTCACTTCAAAGCATACAGTAAACTTCGCTTCTTACTATGATGGGGGTTTAGTACCTTCTACATGCCAGATCTTGAACATCCGTTGGTGTGATCACCGCAGAAAAGATTCTGCTATTTGTTGTTTTCATCCATGTGTAGTGTAAGCCCAGGTCTGTGTCCATACGATTAGTCCTCTCTGCTCGATTGATTCTAGCATGTCTGAAAGGAAGGAAGGAAGGAAGGAAGGAAGGAAGGAAGGGATCGGATGTGTAGGACGAAGGTTATGTTCAGTGTTAGGTAGGAGGGGTATCTGATGCTTTAGTAGATTAAATATTGGTGTTTGGGTTTGGAAAGAGTGTACTGGATGACTGTATTTGTGTTGGGGGGGTATGGATCGTTCCTTATGGGGGTGTTTGTTATGGTATCTATGAAGGAGGATGAATGTGATTTGAGGATGGTAAGAGGTAGTCTGATTACATATGTTGTATGTATTCAGATGGAGGTAAGCCGTCCAGTGAAATCTCCAAATCAAGGGATAACTTATAAAATCTCGTGGATGAAGAAACATTGCAGAAGAGGAAGCAGTATACTATAGAATACATCGGAACGGAAAAACTCCCCCGCAACCCTGATCCCCCACCCCGATCACCTGACCCAATCTCTCCCAACAGGGCTTAGCCGCACTCAAGCGAGATGGTCCGAGCCCGCATCACGGAAACCGGAAAGCACACAACGGAATTTCGACCCTAACCTTTTCGTTCAATCCCTCAACGCCCAGCGACGACAAACCGCCTGCCAAACACCCTCATCCCCAGGTTTCTCTCGCCTCAGATTCAAGATGACTCACGAGTCCGTCTGGTACAGCCGGCCCCGCAAGTAAGGCATTCTCGCACCCGAACGGATATGATGATTTTGTGTGGCTAATGGATTCGTTTTTGTTGTGTATAGGTTCGGCAAGGGCTCCCGTGGATGGTGTGTAAAAACCGCGATTTTCCAGGATTGATGAATTGGGCGACGATGAAAGAATGAAGAACTGATTTGTGATTGCGATGAAATAGCCGTGTCTGCACCCACCGCGCCGGTCTCATCCGCAAGTACGGGGTATGGATATCAACCTATTCCCTGGGTTTTGATGGAGAAGGATTGTGCGTTTGAGGGTTTGGGAATATTGTTTGGCTAACCGGGATTTGCGACTTTCAGATGAACATCTGCCGTCAGTGCTTCCGTGAGAAGTCCCAGGACATCGGTTTCCACAAGGTTGGTCTCACCATTACCATCACCCACCACCACTACATCATCTCGCAATGGCATGGCAAGGAGGATTTGGAAGGAAGAGAAAGAAGAAAAAGATCGAACGCAAAATACAACGACGAGCAACCAAAACGGGCAATATCCGAGAAAGAACATGAAACCATATACAACCCACACACATATACACACAGACGGAAAAGAAAAAAGAAGAATGAAACAATCACTAACACCATCACCAATCCAGTACCGTTAAATCGAATCTCTCGATCCCATTTTCCTATTCACGACGATTCGTTAACGCGCTCGGCGCTCGGTTACCACTCCCACGGCGGAGGGATACGATAGCCTCTCGCCTGAACCGACCGACCTGCAACTAAAATCCGTCCGGGCTTGCTTCAATGGAATGAATTAAAATGGTGTTGAAGGAGATATGATGAATTAGAGGAAGAGAGGGAAATATTGCGCGGATGCCGGTGTTGACAATTTTATCCGAAGGTGTCATGTCGAACCTTTTTCTTTTTCCAATTCTTAATCGAATGAATTGAGGAAATCTTGCTAAGGATCCTGCTTCTTTCGGGTGATGAGAGTGTTGAGGGCAGTGGTGTGATGACGGGATGGTGGGTGCTGCTGCTTATCATGATGCGGCGCTGGTGGGTGTAGTCTGCTTGAACTGTTACTGCATATGGTCGATTGCGCCTTCTTCCTATGCGACTGCGGTATCGGATGGCCAGGCTGGTGTAGGGCACGTAGTGTAATATCCTCTGCATCAGATCGTATGAATTATCTTAGCACATCCGGTGTCTATACGGGTGAGCCTGAATGGCCAGTGGCACGATAGCAGTACTGTCATCAATTCTAGCTAAACAGCTATGCTAAGCCCATCGCAGCTGACTTGTACTGTAGTCTTTCAAGCCACGGCGCTAACCTATCCCGCTATATCTAGATATGAACAAAGCAAAGCAACATTTGGTCTTACATCTATGGCAGATGTCAGCCACCTCTCGCCGAGACGAGTATGCAACCGAATAGATAATCAACTCCTTTCCATGACTCCGTGTCGCTGAACTGAAACCGAATGCGAGAATAAGCCGCCTGGATGATGTGATAGTACAATTGTATGTCTACAGGCTTCTATTGCGGTGCAGAAGCGAGAGATCGAAGATTGTAGAACAGAAGATAGGCATCCGCGTTGAGGACATCTGCCTCTGTGACGGCTGTAACCTGGTCGTCATTGAAGAGCATCCACTGATGGATTAGGTCAGTGTCGTGTCAAGGAGAACCAGATACCCGGCAAGGAGAACTCACCTCGTCGCCCTGACGGCAGTATACATAGTAATGCCCCGCATCGAGCTTGCCCTTGTGGACTACAGCAGATGAGAGGTCATACATGAATCTTGACCTATCGACCCTGGCATGTGGGACGGTCGTATAAGGAAGCATGTTGATTGACAGCGGAAAGTCGATCTTGCCCTCCAGCTTCTCGGAGACAGAAAACGTGTGCTCGAAGCGCTGTAATAAGTCAGAACACGCTCTTAAACCAGAACACTGGTTAATACTAGGCGAGACCTACCTTCAATTGCATGCACAGAATGGCCGGTAACTTCCGGATTCGAAGCTGTTTGGTCGCCTTTTGAGGAGTTCCGCCGCAATGGCTGCAGTTGTACACGCCTGCCATCAATTTCTCCGGAGACGTGTAACTGTCCAAACATCCACTTAGAGTAGGCGTCGATGAGGCCCCAATACCACCCATGGCGCGCTTCTTCGCCTGCACCTGAACGTCCAGACTGAGATCCACCATAGGATCATCCGTTCGCGTAACATTGCCACACTTGTCGCAGGTAACACTGCTTCGAAGCTTGCCGTAGAAGGTCTTATGGAAGAAACAAGGACAGCCCTTCTCATGACCTTCTCGGTGTCCCTCGGTGCTAGCATGAAGCTTGTCGACGAGGAACTGATAATATTCATGGGCATCTTGTTGTTGATAGCCCGCCAACGTCTGGAATGACCATCATTAGCACCGGTTGATAGGATACAGCACCAGGACAGCATACAGGACTTGCGCGCCATGACGCCAAGAGAAGATTAAGAGCTGCGAACCCTTCTGCTTTATCGCTACTGTTAAAGTCGGCGAAAGCCTCGGCAACTGCACATCCTACACAATCAGAGGCAGTACAGTCGTGGGGCTGATGTCCGTTGCCGAGGAAGTACGTGTTGAGTATCGGATCATGCAGGAGGGTCTGGAGAATGACATTGAGATAACATGTCTGCCCCAGGTTAAACAAGCCCCTAACGCCTTGCTTGGCACACGGACGTTTGTTAGCATTACTGCGAATGTAAAGTTCATCTGCAGAGCTATTGCTAAAGCGACGTTTCCGGGCAACTTCTTCGGGTCAGTGCTGTAACAAGTACAGTTTGAGAATCAAACGCTAACCTTCCAGAGCGCTCTCCGTTGTTGAGCACCGAAGCCGTTCTAGACCGTGGTCGTAGACGAAATCACTGCAGGCCTCGCAGTACAGGGTGCGGCCTCTGGAATCCATGTCTGGCAGAATGTTAGCCGACGCTGATAGACGAAAGAAACGACCACTGACAGAACTGATGGCTGGTCTTCTCGGTATGGGCTTTCCGGTCGGCCATTGAGATCGCCTCAGAGCACGTCAAGCAGGTATACTTAGGCTTCAAAAAGCCCTTGGCCTTGAGACGAGTACTCTGTTTAACAGACAAATCCGTGGAGCGCGGGAAATTGCTGAGAGCATTATGTGTCTTGATGAAAGCGCTCTTGAACTGTTCAGAGGTGCTCCCATCCTGTCCCAGTTGCGCGGCCAGATGCTCTTTAATGGTTCAGTCAGAATAAGATCTCAGGAAGGGTTCTCGCATGCTTGATACATACCGCACCCGAATTCAGCCTCCGAAAGTAATGATATGGAGTGCACACTTGCCATGGCGACAGTGTGGTTAAAATGAGTGAGAATGGAACGTTAAAGATCGCACTGAAGCCTATCGGATCCAGTCTAACTGAGACTCCCAGTCGAGCAAATGAAAGAGTATGCTGAGAGTGTAGACAGAGTAGATGCTCAGCAGGTCAACTGCAGATAAAGAAGGAATCCATGGATCGCAGGTAACACCCAGGAGGACTCTGCAGGTCTCAGTCACATCAGCGTGAAGTGTTACTAGGGGACATCCGGGGTCCAATAGGAATGAAGAGAGAAAGCACCTTCAATCGATGTGCCAATAACAAACCCGCCGAGACAATGAAATGTCGAGGGGAACAAGTAGCAGTAGTAGCAGTAGTAGGAGCAGTCAGTGTTTCTCCGCAGCCACCGGGTGTTCCGCAGTCGGGATCGGAGCTGGACGGCCGGATCCTCGAGTCAGTCGGCCTTTGCGCCGGACACTGTGTCTCTTTTCAGGGCGGACCTGAGCGGGCAGGCACCAGTCATATAAACCAAGACGGGATGAAGAATACAATATACAGCCAGGCCAGGTATAGAATGCCTATGAGCGAAGGCACCGTAGGCGCTGGAAGCGAGTCAGATCTTTTTTTCTCTGGCAAGGGTCGACCGCGGCTCCGGGCGATAAGAAACCGGGACTGCATTTGATCCGAGATCGTTAGATGCAGGCAATCAGGCATGACCAGGGGAGCGAGCGATTCTCCCTGTCGGAAGCCCCAACCGGGTCCAGTCCTGCACGTATCCTCATGCATCTGGAATGGATGGGGACATTCTCTTTAGTCTTAGCGACACTCTTCCCACTTACCCCGGGTGGGTCACTCTGGGGATCCCCGATGGTCCTACGAGGCTTATCTATCTAGGCCGCAAGGCCACCACAGTCCAACACAGGCAATCTATACTTCTATCATCTTCCATAATGTCACCACCCTTCGTTCAGGTCTTTTCTCGGGCATTAAGAAAATCCTCTGGCCCCAAGAAAAGCGGGAAATTTTCCAGCCTATCGCAAATCTATTCTACAACATTGGATAGGTAGGTGTTCCATCGCACAGAAGGACCCGTGCCGCTGAGATCGTGCATGTCGCTCGGCAGGCTTTGTGTCACTGGAACGCGACCGTCATCGGAATCACTGTACTGAGAACAGCGTTCCCTTCGAGATTCCGGGTTGCGCTCTTGTCTGCAAGGTTTTGCGGGTTGCCAATAGCAATCCGTTCCCTACGCGTAAGTCTTTGTGCCTCCGCATGCCTGCGCCCTATTCATAAACCTTAGCATCCCGGTTCCTGCCTTCATCGTAGCCCCCTTCCGCGGGGCAATGCGCTTGGGCGAGCGCGATTGGTGCCTCTTGTCGTATAGCGACCACTTGTCGACCCCCGTGTCGATCCTCTTGTGGTGCCACGCGAAGGAGCCGGGATCTTGGCCGTAGGTTTCGAAGGGAGTGCCTCGGAAGGGTGCTCAATAAAGGAACTGTCCGTAGTCCTACATGCGTTATTTTGTTAATAGGAAGATTCATCTAGCAACAGTGACGCAGCTGGCAACTCACATGAATGTCATCTCCCCGTCGTTTATCGCTCGAGTTTGTTCCGCTTCAGCATCTACTTCCAGTGTTAATCCGTGAAACCCCTGTCGCAGTATTGTAATCATAACTATACCATTTTGTGCCTCTGCTTGCTTTGCCCTTCGAAACGACTCGGGAATCGGGGCCTGCGTTCGTCAATCAGCCTAATTAATCGAGAGCGGATTAATCCCAGCAGCAAATACCTCCGGAAAGTCCACGCAGAACGCGTTCATGTTCAATCCATATAGAAAACTAGCGAAGCTCTCGCTGAACCGCGTCAGACTCTCATGCATCAATTGAAGGTGCATGAAGTTCGCCTCCAGATCAGCCATGGAGTCCGCAAGCTCTGCAAACTGAGGCTCCAGCGCATTGATGGCAGGCTGGGTGTAGCCTGCCATCCCAATATTGCCATAACCATGGGCCTCGCGGATCGACGACCGAGAACTGGGTCTCAGGGGGGTCGTGGGTCTGGAGGAGGGCCGTGGGCGAGACGATGAGCGGGCAAGCGCATCCATGACGATGTCAATGTTGGGTACCAAGATTGGAGGGTGAGGCGAGGACGGGTTGAGGGAATTCCACGGCTCGAAAGGGAAACCAGCGGGAGATGCAAGTGAAGCTGTCACGAATTTGAGACCTCAAACGGTGGTGTTTCAGGTGGGTTGGCGAAATCGCAAAAGCTTGGGTTTGTTGATGTTGATCCCCGCTTTGGGCAAGGGCCGGTCACTGGACCCTGCTGGATGCCTCAGGCGGTGAGACATGGCTGCCTGGGGCGCCACCAATGCGGCCAATCGGCCTATAATTAGGACTAGTCTTCCGTCTAGTCCGGAGGACCCCTGGTGGGATGCCATGGGATTGGATTGGCACACGACTGGCAATCAATCCTGGAATCCACTGAACAATCCTGGTAGCTTGCTTCATCATCCCCAATTGTTGCTGGATCCACCCCTGCGAGCTCCCACTTGGCCTTCTCAGATAAACCCTGACTTCTTAAGGTTCTAACCGACTACCTCGTCCTGAGTTCTGCCACTTCGCCTCCTCCTTCCCTCTCGCCTTCCTTCCCCGCATTTCCGGCTGGAAATTTAGGCTCGGATCTTCGACTTCCATTTTACTCATCGGTGGCTTTTCACCTAGCGAGTCGGAGCACGAGCACGAGGGGAAAAGGAAGCCGACGCATCTGTCCTAGGGATACGACTCGTCTATCTTCTGTCGCCGCCTGGCTTTTACGAACAAGCACATGCATGCTTGTTTTCTCCTGCGCCGCCGTCTCACCCCCATCTCGGCCAAATCTATTCAACTTGCGTCGGAGAGACTGCTCCATCCAGGACGCGCACAGATCTCCCTACCGTGGGACTCTAATCAAATCCCTTTGATCTGGTCTCGGCCCTCCAGGCGACCCTTCTCCACTTCTCCGTTGTCACAACCTTGCGAACCGAGGAAGGCGTCGTCTTTCTGGTCAATCACATTCGCATTACTCCTTGCTGGTGCAGGAGCCTGGGTACATAATAAATACCGCGGTTCCAGAGGCGATATCCCTACGGTTTCGGCCTCTCTGGAATTTGGACAAGATTCACAATCACCTTTCCTCGGTGTCATCGAAACCCTGAAGACAATGCCCATGGAACCACAACCCGGAACTGTGGGGAACCTCACAGCGGAGCAGGAAGCCAAGCTACAAGAGTTCTGGGTTCTGCTGCTGAAGGTCTGCGGTATCAATCTGGATGCTGTTGAGCCACTGCAGCAAGAAACCGGCGACGCCACCCCTTCAAGCGCACCCCAGGAGAAGAAGAAGCAGTCTAAACGGCGGTTCGGTCTTTTCGGGCGGAACAACACGGAAGAGGAGGAAGATACCGCCAGTGACAAGTCGACCAATGGAATCACTTCCAGTATCGCTTCCATCAACATCACCGACGGGGATGACAAGTATGGGCAGTCGAAGGAGTTTCAGCAGGCCCTTGTGGACATGAAGCCCGAGGAGATCCGGGTTACCTTCTGGAATATGGTCAAACATGATAACCCCGATTCTCTTCTTCTCCGTTTCCTGCGCGCGCGAAAGTGGGATGTCAAAAAGGCTCTGATCATGATGATCTCCACTCTTCGCTGGAGACTATTGGATGTGAAGTTGGATGAGGATATCATGAAGAACGGCGAGCAGCATGCTTTGAAGCAATCTCAGAGCTCTGATCCCACTGAGAAGAAGGCTGGTGAGGAGTTCTTGTTGCAGATGCGCATGGGTAAGAGTTTCCTTCATGGCGTGGACAAATTCGGCCGGCCGATTTGCGTCGTCCGAGTGCGCTTGCACAAGGCGGCCGATCAGGACGCAGAAGCCTTGGACCGGTTCACTGTGTATACTATTGAGTCTGCCAGGATGATGCTTGCACCTCCGGTTGAAACAGCTGTGAGTATACAGCCACGTTCAGCAGGAAACATTTTCTGACGGGTAAACAGTGTGTCATCTTTGATATGACCGATTTTTCTCTGGCGAACATGGTATGCACACTCATCATGAAATGGTGCTCGTTGCTAACTCGCCCTAGGACTACCATCCCGTCAAGTATATGATCAAGTGCTTTGAAGCTAACTACCCCGAATGTCTCGGAGTCGTTTTGATTCACAAGGCCCCTTGGATCTTCTCAGGTTTGTTCCCATAGTACAATGATGATGACGTTTTCTCTAACCCGAAAACAGGAATTTGGAATATCATCAAGGGCTGGCTCGATCCTGTTGTCGCGTCCAAGATTCAATTCACCAAAAATGTTCAGGATCTGGAGAAGTTCATCCCCAGGGACCGCATTATGAAAGAACTCGATGGTGACGAGGACTGGGCTTACCAGTACGTTGAGCCTCAGCCCGACGAGAACAAGCTTCAGGAGGACACAGCCAAGCGCGACGAAATGGTGGCCGAAAGGCAGCAGCTCGCTCAAGAGCTCCAAGACGTTACCATTGAATGGATCTCTTCGACGAAGAAGAAGGATGAAAGCACCGTCAAGGCGGTGATAGAAAAGAGAAAGGACCTGGTCGATCGGTTGAGGGCCCAGTACTGGGAGCTTGATCCGTATGCACGAGCCACTTCCTTGTATGACAGACTGGATGTCATTCAAGGTGGGGGTAAGATCGAGTTCTATCCCACCAAGAGCAAGGTCGAAGGCAACGCACTCAACGGCGAGAAGGCCGAGTGATTCCGCAGGCTTCATATATTATAGACGGCTAGAGTGTGTTGATAGAGGGTACATGTTATAATAACGCTCACGCAGTGTGACATGTAAATACAGCTTCTACTTGTCTGGCATGGAGCATGTATAATTGTATTGCGGTTTATTTTATGGAGCAATGAGATGTTTGTTATGAATGAATTTCCCTATCTACGATTTGCTCTTTCGTCTGGATATTCGTTGTACAAGCAGGGCTTAAATGTGCACTGCAGCACGGGGTCGATAGACGCCGCCGTGCATCTCGCCCCGTAGTTTGTACTACTTTACATCTTAGCCTTGAGCTCCTCGAACAAAGCCTTCAGCTTGTCCATGTCAGTGGCCTGAGCGGGCCACTCGATACCAAGACCTTCTGTTTGGTTGGGCTTGGGGATCTATTTTCGGGTCGTCAGCACCAGGCCGTGTCCAGTCACATAACCACCTTCTCCTCCTATCCACAATCATCCCAACCAAAAAAGAAAAGAAAAGAAGAAATATAACATACCATATGGAAGTGAACCTATCAACAACCGCAAAGATTGCACATTAGCCAACAACTCTGGCCCCCCGGTGAAGGCAAGCGAGTCAACTTACATGATCAACAACCTGATGAGCTATACGGCCATTGTTCTGCAGGATGTTGAAGTCCTCCGCACCAGTAACCTGGGCGATCTTCTTTGCCACGGGCTGCGTGTTTATCCATCTGTTAGTGGCTGTGTCTGTGCCTGTGCGGGGAATGGGGCTCGCAGGGTCCTCGTTTTGGAGAACTTTGAGGGGGAGTGTATATAAAGGAGCTAGATGGGATTCCCGGCTGAGTTTGTTTTGTGGGGTGAGAGGTGTTTTTTTCTACGCACCAGGACTTCCGCGAGGTCTTCGTCGGGGATGTCGGTGAGCTTTGCACCGTGGTATTTGGGGATCACGAGCTGTTTTTATGGAGATGAGGGGTGGTGTTAGCTTGGTTTGGCTTGACTTGAGGAGGCTTGGGGGTCATGGGGGAGTTTAGGAAGGGGGGTAGATGTATGAAGTGGTCGGTGTTGATATCGTTCGATTTGAAGGAGTGTTCTGGTATGCGTAGGTGTCGTGCGGGGATCATTTCGGTGGATGGGCATATGTGAAGTTCGCAGGGGAGAGGACTTACCGCGTGTCCACGGCTAAGAGGCTGGATGTCGAGGAAGGCAAAGACCTTGTCGCTCTCGAAGAGCTTGAAGGAAGGGATATCACCTATTGTTATGGCGGTTGTTAGCGGGCACTGTTGCTGAGCGGGCGCAGTTGGAGAACAAGAGAGGAGGCTGTAAAGGTTGAGGGTGGGAGGGCGCCGTACCCTTGATGATCTTGCAGAAGATGCAGGCGGCGGACATTGTGTGGGCGGAGGTATATTAGAATCGTCGAACGAGGAAATAGATATGTGCCAGAAGCAAGTCTAAAGGTGTCGCGATGACCGAATGCGGGGTTGAAGATTGCGAGGCGGAGCGCGCCGAGGTGGAAAAAAAGACCAAGGTTGAAAGGCGAGCGCGGGACTCGAACCGCGGCCGCTAGGTAACAAAGGGTCGGATATAAAGCACTATAGGGATCAATCTGCGAGGAGTGGGACAAACTAGCTCAGAACTCATTTCTTGCCTTTTACCAGAGATGACCGTGGTTTGCCCAGAATACTCCTCTCCTCAATCTTTGGAATCACCTATCGACACAGTTGTCGAACTTTTATTGTTTTTCTTTTTGTTACTATTAATTGTACAATCCGGCTGTTCTTACAATATCTTTTTCTAGCTTTTTAGACCCATTTATCGTGGGTTTTCATGGCAGCGGTGCGTTCCCTTTATTGCCAGGGGCCGTGTTCACAAGCCCGGTCTGCGCTGGTCTGCCGAGCGACGCTATCAGGCGCGGCTGGGTTACCATGGCAGTTGGCCGTTTACATCAACTACTACGAGCGGCTGATGTTGTACCCTTCAAGTCAGAACACCTTGAGTATGGAGTTGGTGGATACTCCTTTGACTTAAGCAAATGATTATCATCATCTCCTTGATTTGGGTTAAATTTATACCCAATTCCAAGGACCTCTTGCCCATAGATTCACACGGTCCCTTGCACTTAACAAGACATCTACATCAAAAGCAACTGCCGCTTCTATCCAGAGGCTACAGACATATGGTTAACTCCATCATTAACCGTTCGGCATCGCCGTAAAAGGGATCTATCCTCATACCACAATTGCTACGTACGCTACCCCGGATGGGCTGGCTGTGACCCTGGAACGTTCTGTACCCCTCACTACCAGAGCGCTCCATCCATTGCCGAGACGCTTTTTACCTTACTTACTCCAATCAAGATATAAGCGACCCGAGAGAATCGGAGTATATCAACCCATCGCATCGCCTAACGGACACAATTTCGCTGGTATCTGATTCGATGGGAGGCCCGAGACTCCAGCTGAACCCCACCAGCTATCTTATCTGAGCGTCGATTGGTGTCTTATCTGGAGGGGCCTCCAACAGCCGGGTCTTGAACTAGATATGGTTCCTATCGGCGCCTTTTGATTGACAAGATGGCCTCTATCTCGTATCGGGGTCCCCTAGCTGCTAGGATTCCTGGGCTACTTATTAAACAGACAAGACGGCTCTCCGCGAAACCCGCGTTTACATCTCTCCGTAGAGCATTTTCAGTCACTTCGATTCACACCATGTTATCTACAGAGTTAACCGAGGCTGAAGTATCGGCCCTCAGAGCCAACAAAGAGCGTCTTGCAAACGACCTCCATCACAGCTGTCAGTGGGGGTTTGGTATTCGCTGGGGAGAGTAAGTGCTACCACAACACCTTGAATACACATTAGTCGCATTCGGGGCCCATGCAGAGGAAGCTCTCCATTGAAGCAGGGCTCCGCTTTGCCATGATTTCAAGACTTGGTCTAATGATGACTCAGTGGACACACGGACACTGGTATGCAGCGTCTTGCGTTGTCACAAGAGGACAAGCAAGTACGGGACTGGTTCATCGAAACAACAAAGGCTCTGAAATGTGAGATCACGGTGGACGAGATGGGCAACATCTTCGCGGTTCGCCCTGGTCGACGGACCGACGTTCCAGCCACTTTCATTGGCAGTCACCTGGATACGCAACCGACAGGTGGTCGGTATGATGGAATCTTAGGTGTGCTCTCCGGCATCGAAGTGCTCAAGGTGATTGATGAGATGGGATTGGAGACGGAAGGTGGCATCGGAGTTGTGAATTGGACAAAGTAAGGCTCAGATGGCTATACCACGCTCGCCCACATGGCTAATCCCCGGATAGCGAAGAAGGTGCTCGATTCCCCATCAGCATGGTCTCCTCCGGAGTTTGGGCAGAATGCATTCCTCTTTCCCGCGCACATGAACTCAAAGAGGTCCCGACTGTCGCATCTCTCCCTACTGCAGCCTCTGCCCCGGAGTCTATGAAGTCTGCGTTGGAGAAGATCAACTACCTAGGAAGTGTCCCGTGCTCATACAAGCAAACACCCATGGCAGCCCACTTTGAGCTACACATCGAGCAGGGACCTCACCTCATTTCCGCAGGTCAGCATGTTGGTGTTGTGACTGCCGTTCAGGCATACCGCTGGTTTCACCTCACAATCTTCGGTCGAGACACCCACACGGGTACTACCGCATTCGAACACCGCGCAGATGCCCTGTATGCCTTTGCTCGTATGATGGTGCGCGCTCGGGAAGTGGCCTCCTCCCACGGCTGTCTAGCCAGCGTCGGAATCGTGGAGGCGAAGCCAGGCAGTGTGAACACAGTCCCCGGTCTTGTCAGTTTCAGTCTCGACATTCGCGGTCCAGAAAGCGAGTTGGTTCAGGTTGTGGAAGAGCAATTGAGAAAGGAGTTTGACGCTATCGCCGCGGAAGAGGGTAAGGGTATTGGCAAGCCTTGCCGTGTAGAATGGACTCTGGATTTTGATTCGCCGGCTGTGAAGTTCCACCCTGATTGCATCGACTGCGTGCAACAATCCGCAGAGGCCGTTGTGGCCGACGTCAATGCTGCGGAGCCCAAGTCCCTTATACGCACCATCATGAGTGGTGCGGGACACGACAGTGTCTTCACTTCCAAGAGGGTTCCAACCAGTATGATCTTTGTGCCATGCAAGGATGGATTGAGCCATCATCCGGAGGAGTTCTGTTCCGCAGATGATTGCGCAACAGGAGCATCAGTCATTCTGCAAGCAGTCATCCGCTACGATCGGAAGAGATTCTCCAAATAGTCACCTTTCAATGGCAGGGATACGTCTAGCTGCGTCATGGTGCAGAAGTCCTGCTCCAACCAACGAAAACATATAGGCGCATTGAGGAATCGCCATAAGATCTACATGTCTACAATTGTCCAAAATGAATTCATGAAATCATGCCATTAGTCCTAACTATTCATTATTTTGAAACAGTAGTCGGCATAATCTCTTTTTAGGACGTGCACAGCACAGCTCTTCCTGACTTCTTTCGAAGCCTACTCAAGCCGCACCGGCAACAATCCCATTAAGCCCTTGGAAGACCAGCAGGCGACACCCCTTAGGAGGAGGGAGCACCACGGCCACGGCCGAATCCACCACGGAAGCTGGGAGCGAACTCGCCGGGGGCACCGCCCTCCTTGTCCTGCTCGCGGCGGCGGTAGCCACCCTCACGAGGAGCACGGGGACGACGCTCACGGTCCTCACCGCCCATCATGCCACGGGGGGGAGCGTGAGAACGCTGCTGCTTGATGTGGGTGGCGGGGACAACCTCAGCGGGGAGGTGGAGCCACTCACGGAGGTAGTCAAGACCCTATATCAAACCAGTCAGCCATTGTCCACATCCATATCATACATATCACGAGCCAACATACCTCGGGGGTGAGGGTGTAGTAGTAGTACTGCCAGGAGAACTGGGTCTTGACGTAGCCGCGGGAGGTCAGGGACTGGCAGGCCTTGATCACGTAGAGGTTCTTGGTGTCAATGTCGCCATGCTTGGGAAGGTTGAAGTCCTTCTTGGCCACGAGCACACCCTCTATTCTAACCGTCAGCGAGACTATTCCTCCTTCATAATATACGACATCGATCGAAGGTCGCGCGCGACCCGGGGACCGGGCGGTGGATATGGATATGGTGTTCACATACCGCGGAAGAGGTACTCGTGGATCTTCTTGCGGTCTTCCTTGGGGATAAGCCTGGGTCAGGGTTAGCTACATGTCATCATGTGGACTCAATGGCTAATAGTAGGTGCAACACTTACATTGTCGCGAGTTCCTAGCGCTCTTCGGGGAATCGCTCTGACAACGCGACGAAGAGGGTGGTTTGGTTTAAATGTAGATGATGTGAGTGGAGCGGCTGGCTCGAGGGAAAAAGTGCGCTGATTCCCAATCGGGAAGCATTCCAAGGGCTGGGGCCCTAATCAAGCCGCTTGGCGATAAGCTGTATCACGTGAACTACTCTTTTGGCCTAAGGCCGGCAATACCTTAGTCATCGCTGGCCTTATCGGGAACTCTCCGCATCTGAAGTTCAACTGCGCCTCTCAGCCGATTCAAACATCTCCACCTTCAGCAAGCGGCATAGTTGCAGTGTCTCCAATTATCCACCAAAGATACGACATACCCCCTCTACGTGCTTGATCCGAACTACGATACGAGTCATCAAAATGGCGTCCCAGAACGTCAACGTCCTCCTCTCGACCTTTCCCGGTCTCTCACTTCCTTCAACCCTCTCATTCTCGCTGCCGTCATCGTCCAGCGTCGCCGATCTGACCGAGAAGATCACCTCATACCTCCCTCACACTCTGCCCCTCGAGTCCCTGATCTTGACCACAACCAACAACAAGCAACTTCTCCCCTCATCCGAATCTCTCTCATCCTACCTCGATGGCACCATCCTCCCCCTCCGTCTCAGCGTACCCCTATGCGGTGGTAAGGGTGGTTTCGGATCCCAGCTCCGTGCCGCTGGTGGCCGCATGTCCAGTAAGCGCAAGCGCAACCAGGGCGACGACAATGGCTCCAGCCGCAACCTCGATGGCCGCCGTCTGCGCACAGTCAACGAAGCCAAGGCATTGGCCGAGTACCTCGCCTTGAAGCCGGAGATGGACAAGAAGGAGAAAGAGGAGCGTCGGCGCCGGTGGCAGGCTGTCGTGGAGGCTGCGGAAAAGCGTCAGGAGGAGCTGAAGAACGGAGGTGGTAAGCAGAAGCTTGATGGACAGTGGATGGAAGATAAGGAGGAGATGAACGAGAAGGCTAGAGAGGCGGTTCTTATGGCCATGAAGGATGGCATGTGGACGGATAATTTGCGCGATACGATTTTGGGTGGATCTAGTACGAGTGCGAGCGAGGGAAGCGGTCAGGATACTCCGTCCAGCTCTGAAGAGGAGAGTGATGATGAGCAGGAGATGGAGGATGCGTCTGGACCGTCAGAGCCGGCTCGCAGCGCTGCGCCTAGGCGGTATATTGGGTTTGATGAGGATGATGAGTTCATGAGCGATTCTGAGGAAGAGGAGGAGCCGGCTGATGATCCTAAGGGGAAGGGAAAGGCCAAGGCTTGATTAATTGCGATCTTGTTCATGCGGTTGATGGAGTACGGTTACGGTTTGGGTTTCTTTTCATGATATTGCCCGTCATTCATATCAGGGTCTGCGGAGCACGGTTATTCAAGCTTCATAGCTAGCGTACAGGTTTTATGAAAATAATATTCTATGTTCTTTCTATAATACGATCCTTCAAATCATACATAATATCCATAGCTCACATTGCACAATTCGATGGTTATCCACCAAGTTCGCCACAACAACTTTTTCCGGCCGCCCACGCGGACCACCGCCGCTATCACTATCAGTTCCTGTCGCATTCCTCCAATTCCTCCATTTCCCCCAGCATCCCAAACCTCCACCATGTCGCCATACCTCGGGCGCATAATCCCACGAGGGCCGTTACCAACCCACCTCCCTTCGCAACACCTCCGCCGAGCCATACACCTCTCACGACCGTTAACCCGAACCGCTATTTTCCCCCGTCCCGTCCGCAACACAACAGAGCCCCGAATCCAGCTACGCAGCTTGTCCACGAGTATTCCGTTACGCGCTAGCTCATCTGAGCTCCTCGACGATGTCCTCCCCATCTGTTGTCCCGGATGCGGTGCATATTCGCAGACCGTCGAGCCAAATGAGGCTGGATATTATGGGAAAACTAGGAAGCAGACGCGGAAGCTCCTGTCCGAGACGCAACAAGTGATTGATGGCCAGGATGAGGGGTCTGGGGTTAAGGCTGAGGCGGAGAAGGCGGCGGGGAGGATTCAGAAGTATCTTGAGTCGACGGAGGAGGGAAAGGAAGGGGTTCCGAGGCCGAAATGTAAGTGGTTATGGTGTGGTTCGGTTGGATTGATGATGAGGATGAGGATGATGATGCTAACTGGGCACTCTGTGTGTAGTTGGAGCTTCTCTTGTGAAGGCTGCGGATACGGCTGGTCGATACTTGGAAAAGTCGAAGGTTCCGGTGCAGGTCTGCGATAGATGCCATGATCTGGTGCATCATAATAAGGCTGTTTCGGCTGTGTCGCCGACGATAGATTCGCTCCGGGCGTATCTTGATGAGTCGCCTCATAAGCATAACCGTATCTATCATGTGGTTGATGCGGCGGATTTTCCGATGTCAGTGGTTAAGGATGTCTACGAGACGCTTGGAATTATGGATCCGCGGTCGAAGAACAGGCGCTCGGCGACTTATAGCTATAAGGCGGGGAAGAAGCAGCCGACTATAAGTTTTATTATCAACAGGTCGGATCTGTTGGCCGCTACGAAGGAGCAAGTGGACTCGAAGATGGAGTATGTACGCTCTGTTCTTCGTGATACGTTTAATCTCTCGCATGAGGAATTTCGCTTGGGAAATGTGCATATGATCAGCGCTCAGCGAGGCTGGTGGACGAAGAAAGTCAAGGAAGAGATTAGGGAGCATGGTGGTGGGATCTGGGTGGTTGGCAAGGCCAACGTTGGAAAGAGCAGTTTCATTGAGGCTTGCTTTCCCAAGGATTCAAGGAACCTGGAGAAAATCGCAGAGCTAATTGAGCTCCGCGAGGAGGAATCCAGAATGGCCGCCCATTACGACACCTCTGCCCTCGACTCAGATGGACTTCTACCTCCTGCGCCGAGGGAAGACCTTTATCCTATCCTCCCGGTGGTGTCGTCTTTACCTGGAACGACGGTTTCCCCTATTCGCATCCCGTTTGGCCGTGGAAAAGGCGAAATGATCGACCTGCCGGGGCTTGACCGTGGCGACTTGGCCGATCATGTTCGTGATAAGTTCAAGCGCGACCTGATCATGACCAAGAGGCAGAAGCCTGAACGCCACTCAATCAAGCCGGGTCAGTCCCTACTGCTTGGGGGAGGCCTGGTCAGGATCACGCCGGTGAACCCTGACGACATAGTGATTGCCGCTTGCTTCGTTCCGCTTGAGGCGCATCTCACGAGAACGGACAAGGCCATTGAAATGCAAGCCGAGGAGCGCCCATATCCTGGCACCAACATTGCGCAGGAGGGTTATGGCAAGACTATCGCTTCTGCAGGAGTTTTCGACTTGAAATGGGACGTGACCCAATCGCACCTCCCGCGGTCCATTGCCAAGGCAGTTGCGGACAAGAAGATGAAGATGCCGTCTGTGCCCTACAAGGTCATGTCGACCGATATTTTGATTGAAGGATGCGGCTGGATCGAACTTACCGTGCAAACTCGAGCCAAGTCCGTCAAGGAGTCCGAGGCTGAGGCCGGGTCCCCAGGGTCCTTCCCGCAAGTCGAGATCTTCACTCCTCACGGCCGCCATGTTGGATCTCGCGCTCCAATTGAGTGCTGGAAGTTCATTGCCGCTAAGAAGGTCTTGGACAATCGTGCCAAGGGCCCTCGAGGACGGCAGAACATTGGGCTGGAGAAGCGAGCCCGACATGGCTGAACTTCAGCCCATGGTTGGTTGGCATTGCTTTCCAGCATGAATAACTTGTATAGTATATGTTTGCATAGCGATTGGTGTTTCCAGGTGTCTAGAAGGGATAAACAAAAATGTACCATAATGCCGTTGTGGCTGGATGTAACTAGTGTCTCGGTGGTGAGCAGATTATTAGATTATCAACGGCCTGCGTCTCCCGCGTGGGCATCTTCCCTCCTCCAACCTGCACTCTCGCAGCTGTCTCCTCGCTGCCGATCTCTCCTCGAACGTTAACCTTTCTATACTTGCTTACGCTAGTTTTTATTGATTGGTGACTCTCTGTCTAACAGGTCGCATCACCTCTTAAACCAAGCTAATTGTCCGTCTACCATAGAGCGACCTCGTCATCATGCTATCATCACGAGGCCGCAACAATGCGCAGTTGCACAAGATCCCCTGGCGCTACGCCTTAGCACGCACTTACGACAAGGAGACCAATCCGTCGGGAATGATCTCGTTTGGATTGGCAGAACATGTACACGATCCGTATACTGAGTCGCGTGCCCCAAGATGCTGACAGTAGATAGGCTCCAATGCGTGCAGAGATATCCAACTACATCAACACCAAGGTTAATCCCCAGCTTCCTTTCCCATCCTTCTAGAGCTACGCAGTCCCAACCAATCTTTTCTCTATCCTAGGTTGAATTCAATGTAGCATCCGTCGCCTATGGCTCTGGTAATGATGCTACTGCTCGTCTACAGAAAGCTGTGGCAGCGCATCTAGACGATATCCTCAAGCCAATCGCTCCAATTGACCCCGAGAACCTCATTGTCGCCAGTGGCGCAACAGCAATAGGAAGCATGCTTGGATTTGCGTTGGCTGAGCCGGGTGATGGGATCCTCGCTAGTAGGCCGGTTTATGGGCGGTTCGAGCTCGATTATGGCGTTGAAGCAGGCGTGCAGATGGTCTATGCGGATACCATGACGGAGGAGGCATTTGCTCCTTCTGTTGTCGAGAAGTATGAGATGGCACTTGAAGATGCTAAAGCGAGGGGTGTTCGAATTCCAGCATTGCTCCTAGTGAATCCGCATAATCCTGTTGGTACAGTTCTCATGTCTTTAAGCACCCCCTCCTGCTTGGAAGCATTGACACCATCTCTAGGCCGCTGCTACTCCGTCGAAACCCTAACAGCAATCCTCAAGTTCTGCGACAAACACCAACTTCATATCATCAGCGACGAGGTCTACGCTTCTTGTGTCTTTGACACTGGGGATCCCAGCGCCGTGCCATTCACATCTATATTATCCCTCAGCACCCCAGAACTGATCAATCCTGACCTCGTCCACTTGCTATGGGGATTTAGCAAGGCAAGTTGCAGCACCATTTCTCCTCGCAAAACCCTGCCTGACACATATACATAACTAGGACTTCGCATCTGGAGGCCTCCACCTAGGTTTTCTAATTTCACAAAACGCATCCCTCCGCCAATCCTGCAAAGCAATCCTGTCAGTTCACCCCAGCAAACAAACGCCCAAATCTATTAACAGTCCAAACTCCCAGACGCCTCCACAATGCCTCCTCAGCAGCCATAACAATCGGCACTGCCATTCTCGAAGACCGGACCTTCGTCCACGCCTTCACAGCAAAGTCCCAGAAAGCTCTCGCTTCTACATACCGCATCGCAACATCTACTCTCGACCGTGAGGGAATTAAATATATTAAGGGAGGGTAAGCCGCATACTCATACTTCTATCCTCCACCTTCCCAGCACATAGATATGTTCTGATATATATATATATAACTAAAAATATGACCCGAACCAGAAACGCAGGATTTTTCATCTATATCGATCTATCGCCTTACCTGCCCTCACCAGCACCCGCACCATCATCAGAACATAAACACAGTCCATCCGCAGCCGAATTCGCCCTCGCCCAGAACTTCGTCGATGCCGGCGTCTTCCTTCATCCATGTGAAGAACACGGAATGATACCGGGGTGGTTCCGACTTGTTTTTGCCCAGGAGGAAGATGTGTTGATTGAGGGCTTAAGAAGGTGAGAATACCATTCATCTTCGCTCGACTGTCGTTTGCTCGCTGTTTATGTTGCTGGGGTTGGGTCTTGATTTGCGCTGGATGCTGACTATGGATTCCGGTTAGGATGATTGGAGTACTCAGAAGTTTGAAGTGACGTAATGTTTTAGGAATTATTTTCTTGGGTTGGTAGTCTATGTAGTTCTCACGACTTACCAACTTGACCAGAAACCTTGGTTGGGCATTGGATTGTTCTTGCATCTCGAGAGTTAGTTGGTCGTGACAGTTTGGGGTGGGTACTCGTGCTGTGTGGGTGAATGAGACTGACTACTTGATTGATTGATTTGATATATCTCAGCTAGCACCACAATGTAGTAATATGTGGGGAATGTTTCTTGGGATGTAAAAGTGTCGAAGATACTGGGGTTGTATCAGGCTGCTTCCGTCTACATATACCCAACTGCAAACAGACTCGTAGCATAAAGGAATATATCTAACGTAAAATCATTGACATTGCTCTTTTATAGGTCTTCAAAACCGTCATATCTAATCTGTATAGAGCCATATGCTAATGCATGTCTACTCAATGTTGGCAAAAGTAAACGAAGGCTGGCCAGGAACAGCGTTCTCAGCCAAGAGACCCTCCCGCTTCTCGCCAGTGCCGATAACCTCACCGGTCTTGCCACCCTCCTCGACGGCAATGATCTCGAGCTCCTTGCAGCCGGTGACACGCTTGATGGCGGGGACCATCTCGCTCAGGACAGCGAGCTCGTCGAAGGGCAGCTTGCGGTCGAAGACGGCGTCGGGGACTTCCTTGTCGACGACGAGACGCTTCTTCAGTCTCTGGACGAAGGGCATGGCCTTCTTCATCTCGCCCAGCTTGCCGACCTTGGCGTTCAGTTCCTTGTCGTTGATGGAGATGCTGACGGCGTCAAAGGCCTCGCGCACCAGGTCAATGTACTTCTCCTGCCAAGCGGGGAACTTCTTGGCGGCGAAGATGGTGAGCTTCTTGGGCTTGCGGGGGTCGAAGGACGTCTGCTTGCCCTTGGAGAGCTTCTTGACGAACATGGCCTCGGCGGAGGTGATGCTGGAGGTGGTCGAGCGGGCATAGTCCAATGCGGCCGACAGCTCGAGGGAGAGCTCCGGCACCTCGGGGAAGCGAGCGTGGTGGATGGTCGAGGGCTGGGTACTGTGTTAGGCAATCATCGGATATTAATGGAGGTCTGCAGTACGAACCTTCTTCAGGATCTCGAGCCAGATGTACTCGGACCAGTGAGGAGCAATGACGGCCATCATCAGAGCCTGGAGCTCAATGTAGCGGAGGACCATGTCACGGTGCATGCCGACACCAGCCGTGGTGGTGGCCTCACGGTAGAAGTCACGGGCACTGACCAGATCGTACAGACCAGACTTCAGGGCAAGCTTGAAGTTGGTGCTAGATTGTAGTCAGCATCAATCGTTCAAGTTCCTTTCGGAAAGCAGGTCAAGTAAAATGACTAAACAAATGTGTTTGTCGAATGTCCATCAGGCATGGGTGATTTTTGTCTCATGGCCGCGAAGGCTCTGAAGTAGCAAATACGTAGAATATGCAAACATCATCTGGACAAATCGACGTCGGATGATAAGGGAATCCGGTGACTTACTCCTGGTAGTGCTTCTTAGTCTCGCGGACGAGGCCGTTGAGCTCGTTGTCGAAGAGCTTGTCCCAGAACGCATCGGCGGGGCCAGTACGCAGGGTCTCGTCCTTGACAACTTCCTCCATCCAATCCTTGAGAGTGTGGAGACGCAAGATGTTGCTGTTGGCAACGGTCTCCTCGAAGTTGGCGTCTTCGATACCATCACCAGCGTCGGCGAATGCGATACGGGTAGCATCGGCACCGAACTTCTCGACGGCATCCTTCAGAGTAAGGAAGTTACCCGTACTCTTGCTCATCTTCTCACCGTTCAGCAGCAAGTGTCCGTTGGCACGAACACCACGGGGCCAGTACTCTGGGGGGAAGAGCGCGACGTGGATGTAGAGGAAGAAGGTCAAGTGGTTCTGGATGAGATCCTTTCCGGAGACACGGACGTCCAGAGGATACCAGTACTCGAACTCACGGCGCATCTTCTGCAGGGCCTCCTTGCTGATACCGCTCTTGGTAACAAGCTCATCGCTGAGCTCACGTCTGGTGAAGACGTAGTCCCAGACTTCGTCGATCATCTGTTCGGCCTTCACGTTTAGGGAACCGGTCTCCTTGCCGTAACGGTCACCGTGCAGGTAGTGGGCGATAGTGTAGTAGGCCATGTAGACTGTACTGTCACTCAAACTCTCAACAAGGAACTGAGGGTCCCAGGGGAGCTTCGAACCCAGACCGTAGGTTCTAGCGCAAGCCCAGCGGTTGAGCCAAGAGAGGTTCTTCTCGAAGCCGTTCTTGGTCTCGTTCGAGTAGGCGTTGAGGGTGTTCACAACGTGGTTCAGGGTAGTGTTCTGCCATTCTGCGTCGTTCTCTCCGTAGTTCAGGAACCACTGGCCGAGGAAGGCGACCACGCAGTCATCGCCACTGCGGCTGACAACCTTGCCCATGGGGTCGGCGAAGGGGAAAGCATCACCGCTATCGTAGAGAGCCTTGCGGATCTTCTCCTTGACAGCGCTGACCGGCTGGCCCTTGTACTCACCAACAAGCATAGTACCCTTGTAGAAAGCTTCACCATATGCCAGCTCCTTGGCCTGTGCAAGCTGGTTAACATCCTTGGGAGAGTTGATCTTGAGCTGCTTGACCAACGCAGGAGCGGTAAGGTTGCCGTACGTCGGAGTGTCGATAAGAGGGAAGATCTCCAGCTCAGCCCACTCCTTCTTGATACCGTAGTACTCGGGCTTCTTGGCGAGATCCAGCAGAGTGGCGTAATCATCGGGAGAGTCCGAGGGCACGGAGGTGACAACACCGGTACCCTTGCTAGCAGAAACACCCTCCATGGGAAGGATGCGCACACCTTCGGTGTGGAAAGACAGGGGAGCGTTGACAAGAGTACCAACGTAGGCGGATCCGGGGGCCTCGACGACGAGAGGCAGCTGATCCTGGGACTTGGGGAAGTTCGCGCTGTCGAAGAAGAAGCCCTGGAAAGCCATGTTCCAGGCAGCTCTCTTAGTAGCGACGAAGTACTCCTTCTCCTTGACCTTGTAGAGACCGTAGGTGATCTTGGGGCCGAGGAAGCAGCAAGTCTGTCCGTACATAGTCTCCGGGCGCAGAGTGGCAGGGACAAAGTAGACACTGGCGTCATCCTCAATCTTGCCCTTGACCAACTCAGCAATCTCGGGAGCCCATTCCTTGACCTTGAGCTTCATGGCGGTGTACTCCTGGGGTCCGATACCCTCACCCTCAGTGCGGTCGTGGTCCATGCAAGGCTGTCCGTCCTTGGGGGAGTAGATGGTGTAGCGGTTGCCGTACATGATCTTGCCCAGCTCGTGGAGGCGGTTCATCTGCCAGCGCACAAAAGCGTCATAGTAGGGGTTGGCATCGGTGGTGACGAACTGTCTGCGCCAGTCAACACGGGCACCCATGCTGTCAAGATCGCGAATGGCGAGAGGGGGGAAATGCTGGAGCCAGTAGTTGGCATCGGCGAACTTGTGAATCTCCTCGATGGGGATACCAATGGCCAACATGATCTGGAACTGGTACTTCATCTTCACCGTCTTGGCAGCAGCCTTGCTCTTCTTTCCGGAGAACTTCTCCTGTTGGGCCTTAACCTCCTGAGTAGGAGCCGGGGCAGCAGGCTTGTCCTGCTCCTCAGCCTCCTCACTGTAGCCCTCGAAGTTCTGACCGAACTTCTGGACTTCATCCCTGAGCTTGTCGGCACAGGCCTTGATGGGCATACCGGTGCAGTGGAATCCGAGGGGAAAAAGAGCCCTCTTGCCCTCCATGCGGGCCACACCCGTCATGAATTCAACCTTACTGGCAGTGAAACTGTGACCGGCGTGGAGGGTACCGTTCATGTAGGGGTATGCCATAGTTCCGAAGAACTTGGGGTGCTTCTCACGGAGCTCCGCGGCGGACATGCTGCCGAAAGGCACCTCCGTCTCGGAGGGGGCATCGACCTCGAAAACCTTGTTCTCCTTCCATTGGGCCTGGTACTTCTTCTCGATGGCAATGAGGGTATCTCTCTTCTCTGTCTGTTGGGGCAAAACACGATCAGCTCAATCAGGCCATATGGGGTCTGGGGTTGGAACAAAGAGGGGCAAGTGAGGCGGACATTCTCGAGTTTCATGGTGTTTTTGGTGCCCTCATCGAGCGCAGCTGCAGATGCAGCGGCGGCTGCCATGGCTCCGGTTGTAGAAGGTTGGTTTGGACAAACAGGAGATATTGAGCCCGAGGGCGAGGAAGGAGAAGGGCAGCTTTATATAGATAGATTTCCTGGAGTCACCGCGGGGTCGAAAAGAATTGCTCCGTATGTGGGAAAAGGCGGTCCGTGAGTCACCGCCTGCCCCAACCGGGACCGGAGGCACGTTGCCAGTCGCGATGATTTCACTTTCCAGCCCCCTTCAGTAGGGGCTGATGGTAGATTGGGCTCTAGTGTAGACTGTTCATCCTAACTTATGACTCAGAGATAAGAGCATCGTTGGAAATGACAATGCTGACTGGAGTCATCGCGGCGTATAGAGCGGTTTAACCAAAGGAGGGATAGACTCGGGGGTAGTGCAGTCCTGCTGGAATGAGACCATGCGTTGGAGGCATTGGCGAAGGGCCTTTGTGACAAAATCAGATAAATGGTACATTCATCTCCGGCAGGTCGAAAAAGTATATATCCATAGCCACGGTTGGGAATGGTTGTCAATGTCTCTCCGACGCAGCGCCGCATCGCATCGCATCACGTGACCCTATATCGGCTGCTTTTCTTCCGCCGGGGAGCCCAAAAATCAACGAGACAGCTCCAGGCCAGCAGCCCTCCAACCACCCCGTCGCCGGCTCATCCTGACCGAATCCCTCCGTGTCCGACTTGAACAGACCTCCCTTTGACATAGTACCACCAAAAGTCAGGAGCTTGGACGCCCAACCGTCACAATGGTCAACCTATTCAAGCGGATGCGGAAGCTGAAAACCGTAAGTTGACCACCATTCCAATTGCCAATGACCTCAGAGACTAACCTGAATTTACCATTTCCAGAGGGTATGATCTCCTTCTCCAACTTCACCCGATCCATTTGCTACCCGATACAACTTAACCACGCGGACCCTCACGCACCGACCCTATCCCTCACATCTCGGAATCAAACCCACCACATCTATACACATACACACCTTGCTAACCTACCATCCCCAATCTCCAGCTCCTCAACATCCAAGTCGGAACCGGAGCCGCCACCTTCCCCAGCGCCACGTCCGCAACCAAGGAATTCCCTGCCATCACCCGCCTACACCTCACATACGCCCGCAAGATCTACGGCGGCCACCAAGGCGCCCGACATTTCTGGCGCAACTGCCTCCCCCGTCTCAAGTACTACAACCCCGCGGTGCCGATGACCGTACGACAGACCGATCAGCAGGACGGCCCGGCCGCATTGACGATCTACTTCTCCGAGCGGGCCAGCAACGCCGCAACATTGCTCGCGGGCAAGGTCACCGACCAGCACGCCCCGGAGCCGGCGGCCACGGAACAGTCCGTCGTTTTGGACGTCAAGAACCTCGATTACAAGGATATTTGGACGAAGGTGAAGAATATGACGGGTGCGCAGGAGATTCCTCCCTCCGCGGAGCAGCAGGCGGAGCTACAGAAGCTGGAACAAATGCGCCAACAGGCTGATAAGGATCGGATGCGTATAGCAGCTATTAGACAGGCGAAGGCGGATCAGGAGCGCATGCTGCAGGAAGCGAGAGGTGAGGTGGAGAAGTTGAAGCAGCTGTGAGGTTAGTTCGCTTTCGCTTCTGTTGGGTTGATACCACTCGGCGTGGTCTCTTGTAGCATAGCATTTTCTTTACTATTCCTGTTCGATTATGTAGTTTTGGGAATTCTCTTTCGTGTTTAATGGTGGCCTACTTGCATTGTCTGGTTGAGCACGCACCAGTTGTGGGTCTACATATAGTATAGTTACACTCGACAGTGTTGAAGATCGGGACGCTTCTAGAAGACTAAAAGTGGTATTCTCTATTTAACCTTCTGGATGTCTGTGTAGAAGATATAGATTGTTTCATGTTCGTTCATTAATGTTCAAAGGAAGGGTCAAAGACATTTTGTACAGTAAAGGTTAGTAAGTCATGTCCCGTGGTCATGACTTGCTTTCGCTTAATGACTCGAGTCCTTGCGAAAAGACGATTCCAGGTCCGGTATATGATAACAAGGCTAAACGGCAGAGACACTTTACGTTGCATTGTTCCTTTTCATCGATTCCCAAACAACCGACCAAACCCCGTAAAACGATGCAGAATTTCCCCATGTTCATGCATGGTCTGGCGTGTAGTTGGTTTCCCCTAACATACTCTGCCCCGCCGATACCGTTGGCGTCGGAGTCTGGGTATGATTGGATCCTTGCTGATTCGATGTAGACGGAGGCTGTACTCTTCCAGCAGCGGCTGCTTGCAGTCTCTGGTCTAGGGCCTTGAGGGCCAGGGCTCGTCTGCGTTCAGCCTCCTCCCGCTTCGCCATGGCTCTTCCGTTACGATGATTAGAAAGAAGGCTAGGAAGGCCTGCCTCGCCCCTTGCTAGAACTTGTTGGTTGCCCGAGGCAATGGCTTCTTCGGAGAAAGGCGTACAGATCCTGAGGGCGACCAGCAACGCGTATACTTGATCGGAAAGAAACGCAATTGGTGGTTGAAGAACATCCGGAAAGAGGCAAGCAAATGCGAAGGTCTCGCTTGCATCGCCCTTGATGCCTAGTCCGTCTGTCGATGTGCCCGTAAGATCTGGCTGGCGCTTGAAGAAACGGAGGTACGTCCAACTGGTCAACAGGCCGAGCCAAGAGAGGATCGCCGCAACATGTGTGCCAAAAACCACCCCGCTGATGGTGTTCAATAACAAGAAGAGAGCCGGGAAATGCTTAACCCGCATCTTGACCAAGCCCTTGAATATGGTTACCGTATGCTCAGGAACGAGCTGCTTGAAGGCGACAAGGAAGGAGGCCTGGATCGAGATACCGCCGCATATCTGGGTTACGCTTGGAGTCGGTGAGTCAGTAGGGAAAGCGCAAGATGTTGTGCATTCGTCATGAGAAAATAAAGCGTACCCGCCGCTGGAGTTGCTCTTGAAGGCGCTCCCTAGAATATAAAGCGGAATGATCACCACGTTCGGGATCACGGCGATGGCGAGGAGGAATTTAGCGAACTGCCGGGAACCCCATGCGCGCTCCAGGTATTTTCCGCCATAGAAAAGAGTGCCCGCGTTCAGAAGTACGGTAAATATGTTTTGCTCCACAAACGTAGCTGTAAGAAGAGTCCATGGATAGAAGAGAAATTGCGAGGGAACGAGCGTCAAATAGGGTACAATGGGAATGGTGGTCGGTGTTCCTGGGGTGGTGTCAAGTTGGCGCCAGCGGGCGATGTTGTACAGCAAGGAGAGAGTGAGAAGGCTGATGAGACAGATGCGGGTCGCTGGCGGGATGTTGACTCGAGGCGCCATCGTGGAAGAGGACGCTCTTGCGGCTGTTAGACCGCAGGCTGTTGATAGAGCCCAACGGGGGTTGGGAGAGAGAAGTGGGAAGGAAGTCAAATGGGATTCAGATGATCAGTCCGCCGCGGCGTTGGGGGGCGTTCCATTTTCGGGCAAGCTGCAAGGACCGGGTCGCGGCCCTCTGATTGGCCGCCGGCCATGGTATGGCAGGGCCGCCATTCATGCCTCTGCCGTGGAATTATTGAATGCAAAGCCATGCCTCCAGTCATCAGGAAGCATGGATGGCCAAGGAAAACAGCGTTGATCATCCGTATAAGAGTCGGAGCTGAAGCTGTAGTGGGGAGATGATCTGCTGACAGATGCCAGTCCCCTGAACAACGATATCTCAATACGACTATCATTGATTGAGAACAAATTTGACAAAAAAAAGTACCTCCCCACGCGATAAACTTCCGGGTACCCCAATAAGCTACGCATGTCTGACCCTAGTAGCCATTGTCGAGGTCTTCTAGAGTTTCTTCGAACGGCCATTACTCCGTAGGGGAGAAGAATAGCGATCAGACCGAGTGCAAGGGTCACGTGTGGCTCAGTTATCGGGGTGTGGCTCAGCCCAGGGTGATTTACACGGTGCTGGTGGTTACCCACCCGGCAGACGTTCCAAGTGGACCACCGAAGAAAAGTGAAGAAGTCCAGTTACCCAGCTAGATGGATAGAGTAAGCAAGCTTACCTAGGCTGCTCATCAGTTCACAACAGCTTCCTGCCGGCGGGGAATGGGGTCCAGGCTAAAATAAATGCATGCATGTCCGGATTACCACCAAGTACAGAGGATGTACCACTGATCGGCGGCCGAGCAGAAGAATGAACTGCCTCCAGACCCAGATCCGGTCGGGATCGTGAAGGGTCTATTAGCCGCCAGCGAGAGAATATTGGCAAGGTGCTGTAAGGCTGACCACCACACTATTGACAGGAGGTCCTTGAATGACGGAAATTCCCCGAAAGATTATCCATTTTGTGATGTCTGCGGAGAAACCAGCAGCTGTACGGAGTAGGCTGTAGGTACCACCGTGCTCATCGACCCCAAGAAAGACCAAAAATGCACCCGATGCCAAAATCCTTCGCCGAAAAGGGCCAAGAGCCAATGGGTTGAATCGAACAATGAAAAGGGCCGGCGGCGGACTAACCGCAAGAGGGCAAGCGGGGTGGGCGATCGGCTAGCCGTCAGCAAGAACCAGTTACGTGAGTCGGTGGGAACTTGAGTTAACTGACTGAACAGGGGCCCCCCCGAGTGGGTTGGAAGGCCAGCTGCACGCTAGCCGTGGCCTAGACGCCACAACGAGTCAAGGCCAAAATGCCCACTCCCGGTTGCGCCCAGCGTCTGAAACAGCGTCCCAGCGAGAGCCGCCTGGAGAAATTCCCAGCGTTTCCCTTAACCTGGTTGGGTGTGGTTGGTCGTACCCTTTGACTAACCTTGACGGCTGTGACGGACTGGAACTGACTGATGGTGGAAAACTGACCTTGACCCAACTAACGACGACTGACTAACTCTCTAACTACCTGCCTCGAGTCTCGACAGTCGATAGTCGACACCACCAAAGTACCTGGCCTGACCTGGTCTGGTCTGTTCGAACTACCTTAGCAGTTAGCACTAACGGGAGTTCCTCATACGCTTCCTGGGGTCATCGGCCTGTCTTGTCTCGTCTCCATCATTTCATCCGCTCCGATCTTAACTGCTTCCTCCCTTTCCCCTTCCTCCCCCCCGTCTGTTCGTCCCCATCCGCTTTCCCCTCCCGAAAGGCCTGGCGTGTTGCTTCTCCGATCTTTGCAGTTCGCTAGCGGGTCTGCTATCTTTAAGCCACACGTTGGTGTCGATTTCCTCCCGTCCCCGATATTATTCGTCCTTCACCTCCCTCTCTCTCTCTCTCTCTCTCTCTCCAAATTGTCTCGCTGCCAAAGTCGGTCTCTCGCTTCTCTTTCAACCCCCGGTCTGCAAAGGCGCATTTAGGATGGTCGATGGTCCCTGGTGCGCTCCTTGACTCTCTCACGCTTCCACCCGCCAGCCTGCGTCTTTAGTTGGGTTTTACACCTTTCTCCGCCCTTTCAAGTACCGTTGCTTCTCCCTTGTCACAGCCTTGGCTGCATCTCTGCCACCCGGACCCTCCCCTCTCGTCCAGAGTCCTCCTGTCTCTCATTCAGGTTCTGTTTGAGAGGGAATCCGCAAGAAGAGTTTTCAAGTAAACCTTCCCCGAGTCCGACCCGGTCTGTTCCCCGATCCATTGTACCTCGCAGGCCTTGCCTCCCAGTCGACCTTTACGGAGAAACCCTTCGTTTCTGGCATGCTAGCGGACCCTCCACCTTACTAGCTGTCATACATGTAACAATGGCACAACCCGATCTCACGTCGCATCACGTCAATTACCTAATATGGAGGTATGTATCCGACTCCCTTGCCAACCTCGTTCTGCAATAACACATGCCCCCATTATTCATCATAGTGGTTTACTGCCGGCTCGCATTCAGTGCTAATTTCGATTTAGGTACCTTCAGGAGTCAGGTACTTCCTTCCGCGCCAGGAGCTGGTGTTTACTTATTACTGAGGAAGGCAACTAAATCGTTCACAGGTCATGGTGAGGCTGCACTCACTCTCCAGCGCGCGTGGAATCATGACCCGCAGAGTTTGCCGTTTGCCCCGTACATAAAAACTCATGCTCTAGTGTCCCTGGTTCAAAAGGGTCTGCAATACTATGAACTAGAGCATTCGCTCGACAGGGTATGATATTATCTGCTATTTTTTTTTCTTCCTTCCAAATCTGTTGGGGAATCTCAATCGACAGTCCACCAGAGCTAATGGAATAAACAGGATGGAAATCCTACGTCGTTCACATCCTCTGATTATTTCTTCGGGCCAACGCCGCTGGAACCCGAAACACAAAAGGGTCAAAGTGGCCCCGGGGAGGTAGGCGTTGGCACAGACCAGGCGCCTGTCTCGCCTACAAGCAAAGTTCCGCGAGATGGCGGCGTGATCAACGGTCACTTGACAGCCGAGGCCGCCGCCGCCGCGGCAGCGGCACCCCAAGCTACCCCCAGTGTTAAGAAACCGCGCAAGAGCGGAGAACTCAACGGCGATGAAATGGCTATGGAAATTGATTCAAACGGAGTGTCGACTGAAAGCAAACCAGCAGCAGTGGATGAGTCGCCTCCGACAGCCGACATGGTGGTGGATGGTGACGGTGATGTGAGCATGGACATCCGACCGGATTTGCAGGACCAGGAACCAGCCCCAGCCCCAGCCCCGGTGGCGCCGACCTTCACGTTAACCACCGGCCACAGCGTTGGCGTCCAGATCACCCCCGCCAAGGCCGCCGACCTTGGACCCGACACCGCCATCCTCGATGTGGCTAGTGAGGATCACGTGACTCGCGCCCTCTGGCGCCCCAAGGACCCTACCGTCGTGGTCGCAGCCGGCGATAGCTTCTGCAGCTTGTGGAGGCTGTCGTCGACCTCAGTTCCGGTGCAGGAGAAACTCGTGGAGAACAAGGGGGATAGCGCCTGTGTTTCGGCAGTTGCTTGGGACCCTTTGGGCCAGAAGCTGGCCGTCGCAACCTACAACGACATGCGAGGCTCCATCACCATGTACGATGTTTCGGGAAATGCCGTTGATCTACTTCCCGAGGTCCCTCGGATGATAACTGGTCTGCATTGGGCGGAGAGCGGATCCCATCTGATTGTGGTCGCTTCGGACAGCAGAATCTCCGAGCTGGCTCTCTGGGACGACTCCCTACGACCGGACGAATTTCCCTCCCCTCAAGTTGTCGACGGATCGGTCTTTGACCTTTGCTGGCTGGGCCCCCGTCAGGCTTTCGCTTGCGGTAATGGGACGGTCTATCAGTGTGAGGTCGATTCAAGCATCCATATCTCCAAGACATTCTCGTCGAGCGACCCTGACCGGCCCTGGACATTCATTCGCTGTGCTAATTCCGGAACTTCTTCCGTGGCAGTGACTGCATCCTCTGCCAATGCTACTATATGGGTTCCTACCCATGACATGCATCTTGACGGCGCGCATGAGGGCGATATCACGGCAATCGAGCTCAAGCCCAACATGGAACAGCAGGCAGGACAGATTGCACAACCTCTTGTTTTGGCCTCTTCGTCCACCGATGACACAGTCAAATTATGGCAGCTCGATCTGGAGTCCAAACAGTTCAATTGCATTCATCGTTTGTTTCTTGGTCCGTCGTCACCGGCTCTTGCCAGCACCTTTTCCCCCGATGGATATGCCCTTGCCGCTGCCAGTAAGGAGGGCTTGTTCATCTGGAATGCACAGCGCGGTGGCACTGCGCTAGCCACATGGAAGGCGCCAGGCCCCGTGGAGAAAAAAGGGGAAGAGGAGCCTAGTCTCATTGTGAATGGGCACAATGGCACTGCGGAGTCGGTGCCGGATCGCAGCCTAGCATGGGATACTGATGGCAAAAAACTCGCTTTCGGTTTTGGCAACCAGGTATGTCATTTTCGCCTTCTGAGCAAGACACTGTACTGACCGCACTTGGTTAGTTGGCCATCGTAAACCTGCAACGCTGATCTGACGAGGATATACGAGCCGGCTGCGTTACGATTCCTTGCTTTCCGATAGTACATTAAGAAAATGGTACATAGCCATTCGATACACATTTGGCGTTATTCTTCTTCGATGAAGACAGGCCGGTCGCATTACTAGCCAGGTGCTGCAACCAAGCGTCGGCAGTTCTGCTAGCGCTTGTCTCTCCGCTCCCGGTTCTCGGCAGGCCCCGACGTGCCATGTGGTGGGAGCGCAACCAGACACCCTTGCCTCAGAAACTCATCAATATATTTCCACATCATTATCTCTAGTTCTCCACCCCCCCAATGACTTTGGATTAGACCATACTAAACGGCGCAGCTTGGGTCTTCAGGGAAACGCGGTGGCGGTTGCCAAATTCACGTGGTTACGGTGGCTACATTGTTTTCTTCTCTTTTCTTTCTTGCACTGTACCATTTCTTTATGGACCGATTGATCAGTGATTGCCCATGGCGCTTTTTTTTCGACAGCGGAAACTTTCAGCAGCCCTTCAGCACGTTGCACCAAGGGCCATGCTTTCACACTTGGGCTATTCAATCCACAAATGCAGCAGTCCAACCTCCTCCTTGTCAATCAAGGCTACAAGCCTGCTGTGCAGGGTCGTTATATGTATCCCGTCTGTGCCTGTGTCTGTTGCCTTTCTTCCCTCCTCAAACTGCGATTCCTCTCTCGGATGCGAAAGACTTCCTCGACGTCTTTCCACCCTCGCATCCACCCAGTGATGCCTTCGAAAAGTGCTTCGCCGTCACCATCGACATCTTCTACCTTGCGTTTGGTCCATCTTCTTTGACCATTTCGCCGTGAGGCTGCGCCTTGTTTCCTAGCGGCAATAAGCAGGCGCTGTTTGTGCCATTCATCCACCCAGCTTTCGAGCCCTCGTATCGTGCCTTGGATCGCTTCACGCTCGGCAGAGTCTTCAAGGATATCCATGTTCCTGCAAGCAAAAGATGCATTAGTGACCATGGCAACAACAAAAACAACATCATCTACCCGCCAGGCTGAGTGCTCACAGTTCACGAATCTCTTCTTCCAATCCCGTGATCCTTTGTGTCAGTGCTTGACGCTCCTGCTTGAGGAGGTCATATATCTCCGACGCCTCCTTCCGACGCTGGTCGAATTCCACCTTGAGCGCGGCAACCTCGCCCAGAATATCCCTGAGTTGGGGGTGCGACATCTCCCCCACCGAGATAAGGGAATCGGCTGTTTCCTGGGAGTCGGTGGTGGAAATGGAAGCGGCCGAGTTGGCCGGTCGGGAATGAGTCTGGGGACGGCATCGGGCGACCTCTTGCGTCAACCCAGGGCGGGGGTCCAGCAATGATTCCAGCGTGTCGAGACAGTGATGGAGAGTCACTGAGTCAGATTTGGAGGTGGGATTAAATTGCGATGCCAAATGTGCTAGTCGTGTGAGTCGTGCCGGTAACGGGGCGGCGACATTCTCGGTGTCGAGGATATGGGAGGCGTAGTCGGGGTCCGTGAGGGCCATGTCCCAGATCTGGCCCGCCACCGAGGACGGGGGGGAAAGCTCATCGTAATGGGAGGGAGGGGGATGTTCCATGGTTGGCTAGAGTTGGACCTTGTATAATCTAATCCTTCGATTGTCCTCTGTCCATCAAAAGAGTGTCAGTAAATACAAGGGTGCGTGAATAAGTACTAGCCAGGACGGCAGTCGGGCTGCTGCAAGGCTGCGCGGACTGCAGGAATGTACGTGTCTTGAGCTGTCAGAGTGGGAGGTGGGATGGGTGACCTTCTTGTTTCATAGGCCCTGGAGCAGAACAACTCACTTTAGCGTTGCCAGCAGTGATTTGGCTTGACTGTTGTGTACGGGCTGCCTACCGAGCGAGCGGGATTCCCACAGCAACCGGCGTGACTTGGGGGGGGGGGGGTGCAGAAGGCAGCAGGCAGATCCCAGCTGCAGGCCACGTGCTCTGGGCAGTTAACCGACCCTCCTTTGTCGGGACGACCGTGTGCTCTGTGGCCTCCTCCAGAAAAGACGGTCAAGTGTGACTCGCATGGTTGACGATGGCATCGACTGATGCTTCCTGATTCGATCGAGAATCCCATTATGCTCGGCACGCTAGCCCGCTTTGGGGTCCTTATCCAGAGGCCCTCGACGGCCGTCGGAAAAGGACTACATTGGCCTCGAGAAACCTTCTACAATCCTGTCTGTTTGCTGACGTCTCTCCGACAACCAATGAGTCGAGCTCTCGCGGGGCCGTTGTTTGATTAAGCCAAGTTACTCCGTCCAGAGTCTGCACCGCAAATACTCCGAGCCTCCGGCTTCCCGAACTTAGACTCTTTTTATTCTCAAGCCGCCCCGTCTCCCCTCGCCTCTCCCCTCCCCTCCCCTCCCCGCACAAGTCCAATCCCACCGCCATCAGAATCGCAAAGATGGCGCCTCCTGTAAGTGCTCCTTCGCCTTGGTCTACCGGCAGCTCCTGTCCTGATATCACAAGTCAACGGAACTCCAATTGCCACTGGTCTGATGCGAAAACTGATCATGCCCATGTGACTCACGCAGATCACCATCGTGCCGTCTCTCGAGACCGCCAGCGAAGTCGTCGCTCAGACAAAGGGCTCGGCATTCCCTCCAAACCTCCTGCCGTTGACTACGTCAATCCCGGCCGACCTTTTGACCCCCACACTGGCATATCTCAAAATCGCGGAGAAGTGAGTCACGGCTTGGAAAATGGCCCCCAGACGGATGCAATGCGCTGACATGGTCGTTCGTCCAGATCGAAATTATCATTCCTCTACGAGAGTGCCGCGACGACCGAGACCATCGGAAGATACAGTTTCGTCGGTGCCGGTATGCAACTATTCTCCGTGATGCTATTGTACGGCGGAGTGGGGCCATGGCTGACTATTTCTTTGTCCCTGTCCAGATCCCCGGAAAATCATCAAGACTGGCCCCGGCCATGGCCCTGAATGCGATCCTCTGCCGCTTTTGGAGCAGGAACTCTCCGGATTCCGTGTTGCGACGGTGCCCGGCTTGACCCTCCCCCCTCTTACTGGCGGTGCCATTGGATACGTGGGATATGATTGTGTGCGGTATTTCGAGCCCAAGACCGCTCGGCCGGTCAAGGATATTCTGAAGATTCCCGAGTCCCTGTTTATGCTGTTCGACACCATTGTCGCCTTCGATCACTTCTTCCAGGTCGTGAAGGTCATCACATACATCCCCATCCCCGACAGCAATTCGGAGCTGGAGGCTGTATACCGCCAAGGACAAGAGGTGCTTCAGAAGACCATCGATACTCTCCTTCGCCCTGACTACCCCCTTCCGCCTCAAGGCCCGATCATCCAAAATCAGGAGTACACGTCGAACATCGGACGGGAGGGATACGAACGGCATGTGACGAGACTCAAGGAGCATATCTCCAAGGGTGATATTTTCCAGACCGTGCCGTCGCAGCGGCTGTCCCGCCCGACCTCTCTCCACCCCTTCAACCTCTTCCGCCACCTGCGCACGGTCAACCCGTCCCCGTACCTGTTCTACATCGACTGCGAAGACTTCCAGCTGGTGGGTGCCAGTCCGGAGCTGCTGGTCAAGGAGGATAAGGGACGGATCATCACGCACCCGATTGCGGGCACGGTGAAGCGGGGCAAGACGCCCGAGGAAGACGCGGCGTTGGCCAACGAACTGACCAGCAGTCTGAAGGACCGCGCGGAGCACGTCATGCTGGTGGACCTGGCGCGCAACGACGTGAACCGGGTGTGCGACCCGACGACGACGCAGGTGGACCGTCTGATGGTGGTGGAGAAGTTCTCGCACGTGCAGCACCTGGTGTCGCAGGTGTCGGGTATCCTCCGGCCGGAGAAGACGCGGTTCGATGCGTTCCGGTCGATCTTCCCGGCGGGCACGGTGTCGGGCGCGCCCAAGGTGCGGGCGATGCAGCTGATTGCGGAGCTGGAGGGTGAGAAGCGCGGCGTGTACGCGGGGGCGGTGGGCTACTTCGGGTACAACATTGCCAGCGCGGATGGAAAGACGGAGGTGCCGGGGGCGATGGACACGTGCATTGCGCTGCGGACGATGATGGTCAAGGACGGGGTGGCTTACCTCCAGGCGGGCGGTGGCATCGTGTTTGACTCGGACCCGTACGATGAGTACGTGGAGACGCTGAACAAGCTGGGAGCGAACATTGCGTGCATCAAGGGAGCCGAGGCGAAGTATCTGAGCCTTGAAGAGGAGCAAAGTCGGGCGTGAGGGTTCTAGATTCTTTCTTTGTTTATGTTCTACGGATATGGTGATTGAATGAGACATGCACTTCCAGCGAGCCGGAGGTTAAAGTTTTAGATTTGGATTTCAATGTCCAGTGGCTTTCAGCAAGTCCCGTGCAGAAAAAGGGAAGCGAGCAGCCACAGCGCGCCAATCCTGCTGCCTGGAACCGAACCCTCGTAAACGGGCCGTCACACCCGGGCTGGAAGGATGGATGGATGAACTTGGAAAGACAGCCAGGCTATCTAGGCCTGGACAGGATCCCTTGCTTGGAGGAAAATTCGGGACATGAACAGGCAGGCAGGCAGCAAGGGCGGCCAGGAACGTGCTGGAGCTGCAGTGCCCCGTCCGATGACGTCGGGGGGGATACTATGTAGGGCATCCTGCACCGCCACACGGCCGGCCCAGCAGCAGCAAAGCCAAGCCGAAGGCCACGACGTGGAGTGGGTAAACTAGATATAGATAACGGTGGAAGAGAGGGGTCTGCGAGGGGGTCGCACAGATAGGACTATAGACTAGAAACCCGGAGGCTACCTAGTAGGGAGAGGGTGCAATGGTGTCATGTTGCGGGATTGATGGAAAGAAGCGTCGGATGTCGGCGAACCAAGCAGCTGGCTTGGGCAGCGGCATGACACCATCGTTGCTGGGTCCCTCTCCTGATAATGCTATTTATTACACTCCCTATTTACCTTGCCCCGGATTCCTGCCCGAGTGCTGAGACTGCTCCTCGTGTCTGCAAAACCCCGATCTTCATCCGGCATCTCCCAGGGACCGAATTGGAAGCGAAACGGCCGTGGTTTAGATAAACTTTGTCTGAGGCCGGCGTCGTAATCCCCTTCCGGTGCCACCACAAACCCGTCATCTCCAAACTTCTCTGACCCTCTCCATCAATTCTGCTCTCACCCCCTCCTCCTCCCTCTTCCGTGTCGATACTATTCTATTTTTTTTTTTTTTTTTTTTTTTGATCCATTCGTCGCGCATTCCCCTTCTCACCTCGTCTTCTATCCGATCGGTGCCCGTCACCGCCACAGCAGCTGCCTCAGCCTGGGCCGGCTTACATACGCCGCCGCCGCCGCCGCCGCCAGCCAGCCTGCCTGCCTGCCAGCCTGCCAGGCCTCCCTCACTACTCAACTCACTACTCACTAGTCCCCGAACTACCACCCACCACCACCACTTCCACCACTTCCACTACCAACTTCCACTACCAACCACCATTACCGCGCGATAAGGAGAGACGGGCTGGTTCTGCTTCCATCGCACCCACCACCGACACCCACCGCCCCCCTAATCATCCCCCGTGTCGCTCATCCACCCCCCAACTACCCCTCCAAGGGATCGAGCCCACAGGGTCCGCTGCCCCGTCCGCGTCTATTGCGAGCCCTCCGTACTAGTTACAATCATCCTCCCCCTATCACTCTCTCGTCACAATGTCCAAGGTCGTGCGCAGTGTCAAGAATGTCACCAAGGGTTACTCCTCGGTTCAGGTCAAGGTTCGAAATGGTACGTCCCTCACTTGCTCTGTTTCTGGCTGTCCGCATCCGCATCCTGCTACGGTGGCTGGTCGGTCGGGACGGCCTTCTTGGCCGTGGTCGGGTATGACATAGATCCATGCTAACATGTCGATTTCTGCGGTATAGCCACCAGCAATGATCCCTGGGGCCCGACTGGGACCGAAATGGCAGAGATTGCTGCCTTGACGTTCAGCAGGTAGGCTTGTTCCCCCATTGGCTCAATGGTCGTCCCCGGAAACTGACCCCGGTGCAATCACACAGTCCGACCGACTTCTACGAGATCATGGATATGCTGGATAAGCGGTTGAACGACAAGGGCAAGAATTGGCGCCACGTCCTCAAGTCATTAAAGGTCCTTGATTACTGCCTGCACGAAGGTTCCGAGCTGGTCGTCACTTGGGCCCGAAAGAACGTCTACATCATCAAGACCTTACGCGAATTTCAATACGTCGATGAGGAGAGCAGAGATGTCGGACAGAATGGTAGGCTTCTCTCCTGAGGCCGTTCGGTTTCTTTGTTCGTGCTTGGCTAACGGGTCCCTTTGCAGTTCGGGTTGCCGCCAAAGAACTCACCTCCCTGATTTTGGACGAAGATAGATTGCGCAGCGAGCGCTCCGACCGCAAGTTGTGGAAGTCGCGTGTAAGCGGTCTCGATGACCAAGGTTACGGACAGGAACCGCCGCGCCGTGAGCGACGAGAACGTCGCCGTCCGGCCAATGACGACGAAGATGCAGAGTATCGGTTGGCGATTGAGGCGAGCAAGTACGAAGCCGAGGAGGAACGCAAGCGTCGGGCCAAGGAAGCCTCAGGTGCCGAGGATGACGAGGATCTGGCCCGGGCGATCAAGCTCAGTAAGGAAGAGGAGGAGTTACGCAAGCGGGAGTTGGAGGAAAGCAACGCGCAGTCGCTCTTCGATGACGCCCCTACGCAGGTCGCTCAGGCACAGCCCACCGGCTACAACCAGGGATACCAGCAGCAGAGCGCCGTTGACTGGTTCGGCAATCCCATCAACCCCCAACAGCCTCTGACAACCGGTTACCTGAACAACCAATACGCGCAGCCCACCGGGTTCCAGGGACAGATGGCGGGCATGCCTAATGGATACACCAACGGTTTCCAGGGACAGGCCTCCGCATTTGATCCGAACCCCTATGGCCAGCCACAGAACAACTTCCTGCAGCCGCAAGCCACGCTCCAACCGCAACCCACAGCCTTCAACACGAACAATCCTTGGGGTGCCACCGATGTCTTCTCGCAGCAGCAGCAGCAGCAGCAACAGCCGCAACATCAGCAGCAGCCTCAACAGCAACACCAGGAGAACTTCTTGTCCGCCGGCACCAACAACCCATGGGCGGCTAACACCCCAGCGGACGCTCTGAAGCCCATGCCCACCGGGTCGAACAACCCATTTGCGGCGCGCACGCAGTTCCAGCCCCAGCCCAAGCCCGCCGTGACCGGACCGCCGTCTTTGAACGCGCTGTCAGAAGAGCGAGCCACCACCCAGTTCAACCCCATCGCCAACTACCAGGCTCCGCAGTCGCTCGCACCGCCCCAGCAGAGCTTCGCACCCCCGAAGAGCGCGTCCCCTCACATGCAAGATCCGCACCGCGCTCATCTCAATGCACTGCTAGCCTCGGGCGAGGGGCAGGACACGTTCGGAAACGTCGGAGACCTGCGTATCCCGTCCCAGCATACCGCTCCTGGTACGTTCGTCAACTCTGCCGGTCAGGGCTTGGATCGGTTACGGGCGACACGGACCGGCAACAACCCCTTCTACGGCCAGCAGCCGCAACAGCAGTTTGTCCCGCAACAGACGGGCTTTGCGCAGCCGGCCAATAACCCCTGGGGAGGACAGCAGACGTACCATCAGCCTCAGCAGGGCGGCAGTTTGATAGACCTGTAGGGGAGGCGACGTGGGGTGTGATGGTTATAGATATCTCGCCTGTTCGAGGCTCGGGTTTATGTTTCTATCTTTTCATTTCTTTCTAGTTGCAGTTGTAGGAGTCGAATCCGGATACCAATTTCTGTTTTTGACGCCGACCTTCGCTGTTCGCTTTTCGCTTTTCGTTCTTTGCTCCTGAACGATTTGCCTGTCTTATCGCAGGGTTCTTCACCTTTTACGAAATGACACCTTCGCTCGACAATCTCTTTTCCTTATCGTGACATTCTCACCGGCCAATGCCTACCACCCCTTTTCTTTGTTCCCTGTCTGCCTGCATGCTCGTCAACCCATCAATTCCCGGATTTATATACCCTTTTTCTCTTCCTTTTTTTTTTTTTTTCTTCCTGCACACTACACTACAACTCTACTCCAGTTGATATTTTATTCTATTCTATTCTATTCTATTCTATTCTATTCTATTCTATTGATTCGATTCTAGTAGATAGTTCAGCCTAGTCTAGTCTGGTGTGGTCTTTCCTAGATAAATATGACTTGTTTCTTATTTTCCCTTCCTTTTTCTCTTCTTTTCATATACGTAGTTCCTTCCTTTGCTGACATCTTGTCCTTTGCTAATATCTCTTTCCTTGAACTTGTTAGTTATCTAATTCTATGTATTCTATCTCTATTATTATTATTATTATTATTATTATTATTATTATTATTAGCTCTATATCGTATCTAGGACTTATCCATGCTGTGCATTAGGAGTGATGTACCTCCCTCCCTCCTATTATTCATTTGTTGGGGTTTAGTTTGAATGAGGATGAGGAGGGAAACGGGGCAGGAAAGGGAAGATGTGATGTCATGGCTGTACGTAGGTAGGTAACTAGGTAACTAGGTAACTAGGTAACTAGGTAACTAGGTAAGCAGAGGTTGTTTCTTCCTTTCTTTGTTTGTTCCTTGGTCTAGGTATCTAGGCAATGTAATGAATGGGGTCAAGTAGGATGGATGGATGGATGGATGGATGGATGGGTGGTGTTAGGTTACATTTTGTCGGTTACTTTCGTATCTCACCTTACCTTGCCTTCTATCCATGGGCTTACCTTTTCATTTCCATTTCCGGATGGGGATTTTCAGGTACGGAAGAGGAAAGAGCAGGGTACGGGAGAAGAGGGGATAAGGGAGGAGGAATTACAGTGTATCACATGATGAGAATATGTTGGACTGCTTGTTTTGGTTTTGGTTGCGTTGATGCGTTGATGCGTTGAATTGAAATCGGATGGAACTAGACTTCATCCCACACAACGTACACCTACAGCGATACCCACATCAAAGTAATGCATCATCCCAAACAATAACATACCATGCACCGTCCGGCCAGAATCCAAGAAAAACACCAACATACCAATCCGTCTGGCCTACCAATCCGGGCATGCATCCTACCAATTCCATCCTGTCACCCCCGGTACGCCATCCCAAAAAAGTCCCAACACCAACGTAGAGATTGTTATAAGGACTGCAAACAGCCAGAGGGAGGGGGGGAAAAGAACTACCCACCTCGCTCTCCGAACTGTCGAGCCCATTCTTCGTATTCCTGTAACCCTTCCTTGCTCACGCTAGGTCGGATGGATAGGAGACTCGCTTCGAAGTCCTGGAAGCGGATCGGGCGGATCTGGTCCATCGGGGTATGAAGGAGCGCTTCCCCAAGGTTCCGGAGAGGGCCCATGGCAGCGTCCTTGGCGAGAGCAGTCATGTCAGAACCGGAGAAGCCTGGTTATAATTGGTTAGTCTTGATCTGTGTGAGACAAGCGGGTGATGTGGGAAAGCGCTCACCCTCAGTAACCTGGACGAGGACTTCAATATCTTCGCTGGACAGTTCGTGCACTTGGTGACTGAGTAACTTCTGGAGCTGCTGTTCGCGGACCTCATGCTCCGGAAGAGGGATATATTGTCGACGGACGAAGCGGCGACGAGCGGCTTCGTCAATGTCCCAGGGCATGTTGGTGGCTGCGAGGACGAGCACGCGGCTGGCATCGCCGATTTTCTTATCCTTTTGCTCGCGGCCGGCTGCTGCGCGCTGCAGGTCTGACCATTGAATAAGGAACTCCGTTTTCGACCGGCGAGATGCTTCGTTCTCAGTTCCCGAAGATCGAGCGGAGAGCAGCGAGTCGATCTCATCGACGAAGATAATGGATGGGGCGAGAGCCTTGGCCAGTCCGAAGAGAGCACGCACAAGCTTCTCGCTTTCACCATGCCATTTGGATGTCAGTGTGGACGCAGAGACGGAGAAGAAGGTCGATCTGGATTCCGTAGCGACGGCGCGCGCCAGCATAGTCTTCCCTGTTCCTGGAGGTCCAAAGAGGAGCATGCCGCGCGCGGGTTCACGTAGACCAGAGAAAAGATCAGGTCGGAGAAAGGGGTAGACAACGGCTTCTTTGAGGGCTTTCTTGGCGTTATCGAGACCGGCGATGTCGTCCCAATGGACTTCGTCTCCGCGGACAACGATATCATTGAGAATCTGTCGAGCGGCAGTCACATCGACTCCTTTGGGAAGCTTGTTCAGGATATCCATATACGCGTCATCCTCCTCGTCATCTACCTCATCTTCGTCGTCGGGTTCGGTAGACTTGGGGCCTAATGACTCCGGATCACTCGATGGGGGCGTTACAGTTCGTTTAAGCTGCGGGGTTGATCGAACAGGACTGCCCGCCGAGAGTGTCATCCGATCCAAGCCTGGAACCAAGGCATCGTCTGCTGACGATGCTGGAGTGACCCGCGGTCGCGACGTCGATTTGGTCGGTGACTTGCCAGACACCTCCGGGGTCCCTGGAGATAGCCCTGGAGGGGCTGTTGTTGGATTGGACGCCCTCAATGCTACTGGCTTGGGTTTGACAGATGGTTTTGGTGGCGGCTGTGGGCGAACGGCGTCTCTCAAGCGGGCCCCCACGGAGGCAGACTGGGAACGAGCGGACGATTGCTGCGAATCTTCGGCAGTTGGGGTGCGATGTGTGGATGCTGTCGGCGTTGTTGAAGGAGTACTCGATGCGGATTTCTTCGCAGGCGGCCGCCGGGCAGTCTGGTCCGGCGCGCGAAGCTTCCGTCCGGTGCGACGGCTATCAGAATCGTCGACTGGATGCGACACTTTCCGCGGAGGACGTCCGTCTCCGGAATGGGATCGAAGGGGCCCCGGCTCTCGTCGAAAGCTGGGATCATTGGAGGCGGTATACCGGGAGGATGCGAGGGCGGCATCACTGGCGGTTTTGTCGGGCAATGACGAAGCCGGGTAGATACTACCCCAAGCCAGACCTGCGGCCTGAGATGCTGCGGCCGGCCGCAGCTCGCGCCGACGGGAGCTGTCTTTCTTCTTTCCCAATTTCTTGAAATCACTGGTACGCAGGGTGAAGGGCATGATCTTCCGCCGGTCGGGACTGGGGGTGCGGGAGTCGGTCTTGCTCGAGGAATGCGACTGCGTGCGCCGTGCGGGGATGGGAACGGCCGGGGATGACGCAGCAGCACTGGCGGTATCGTTCCTGATCGACTCGGAGCTGACGGCGGTGGATGGGGCCGGGCGACCGGGGATGGTGGGGGGTTTGGAGAGATCGGTATATCCGACCGCGGGGACGGTCCCGTCGCCAATCCAGCCGGGGGTGGTGCGAGGAGGAGGGGATCGTCCCGAGGAGTCCTTTCTGCTGTCGCGGAGGGCCTGGAGGAGATCGACCCGCTCGCGGCATTGAAGTTCGAGCTGGCGGATCGAGTCCTGTAGGGCGCGCTCGGTCTCGTTCTTGGGGGTATACTTGGAGGGGACTCGATAAGCGTTATGATAGTAGATCGTTTCCAGAGCGGAGCGCCAAGATCTCAAGGCCTCCTCTTCATTTTGCTGTAAGCCGATCGGAGAGGCATTAGTTTTCGATAGAAGAGGGGAGGGAGGAGACACAGAGGGGAAGAGAAGGAAGGTAGCATTGCGTAAGGACGGACCTGGCCCTCAAAGTAGACGGCGGTGGAGCACATCAAGTAGCAGTCATCGTAGGTCTTCTGCAGCGACGACGCCGGCTTCATCATGCACCCGGCGCTGGGTTGGCGGAATGTGCAGGGCCCGCCCGCAAGAGGACGAGGGAGCGGAGGGGAAAGAGATGGGGGAAAAAAAAAAATAGAAAACGAGGGGACAAGATCAATTGGACAATGGGAGGATGGGAGAGAGGGAGCGCGGGCAAGCCGGGATAATGGAGCGAAGAGAAGAGGAAGTTGAAGTGGTGGTGGTGTATGTCGTACAGGCAAGTCAGAGTCGCAGCAGCCGGAGGCGGTTTTTCCCCCCCAGTTTTCTCCGTGACGTCGTTGGTTACCAGCCCTGGGCTGCACAGGGCCACTCGCCCCACGAGCTTTGAATGGCACCTCTCAAGACATTGGAATCTCAACCTGGGCCCTCGTCCGAGACATGATTCAGACTCGGGGCCTTGAATGTGTATGGTCATACCGTTCCTCTATAGAGTACATACAGATCCGCAACCAACCCGACACATGCGCAAGATTGTATCCGAACATTAGACATCCAAACAGTAGGGAAATGCAAATCGATGATCAACCATAATAAAAAAAAGAAAGAAGAAAGAAAAAAAGGAAACTCGTCCAGATGTTCCCTGCATGCCAACGCCAGTAGTACGCGATTGAAGCACGAATGAAACATACCCCGAGGCCTCAACAGCCCCGGGCCAAACAGGCAAAAGCGTTCACCAACATCCCGGGTGGCCTGAATTCATCGTCCACAGCCCAGCCAACAGCACCCCGTCCAAAACAGATAAATACACGTCAGAATGATAAGGTTCCCAATTTGGTGTCGGAGAATGACCCCTCGGCCGATCTCTCGTGCGTGATCGCCTCGGTGTTGCGTATATTAAACCCGAGGGTCTCGGCCATTGGGCGCATCCCCGAGAGAAGTCAAGCCGGAGGAAGAGAGAAACAGGAGGGAGAGAGAAGAGATAGGAAGAGTAACAGGAGGAGAGAAGGCGAGAGATCGGAGACATGATGGCTGACCAGGAAGCCAACCCGCCCGTGGCTCGGTTGCCTTCAGCCTGCATCGTGATCTGGTCCGTCCTCCGCACGTGATACAAGCAAGGTGAAGGAGTTGACTTCTCGTTGAAAATTATCTTTTTCGTTTTTTATCGCTTTTGGTCGTGATTCCTTCCTATTCTTATGACTGGAGTTTTTGGGAAATGGGCTTTTTTTTGATCCGCAGACAAGTCTGACCGGGACCAGAGACAAAAAGGGTCGCTGAGCTGGAGTGAGTCGGATTCATGCGATCGGGTCGTTAGCAGAGGCCGGCTGCGCTTAGTTGTCCACCTGGCCCTTGAAGTAGGCCTTGGCCATCTCGTAGGAGGTCCTGTATGATCGCGTCAGCGAACGATCCCAAAGCGCAAGGATCGGAGGTAATCGTAGGGTCCAACCAAGGGAGCGGAAGACTTACCAGCAAATGGCGGTGCTAGGCATCGTGGAAATAATGCGGGGGCGAGCGCCACGCAGGAATCCCTTCCAGCCGAACTGTCGCTTGATAATGGCCGCAGCGTTGAACAGGCCTTTGGCCGACCGGATCTCCTCGTTCTGGGCCAGACCGCGGGTCTGCAAAAGAGTCTTCACAACGTCGAGCGGGGTGGTGAGACCGGCCGCAAAGGCACCCGCCAAACCTCCCGCAATGCAGTGGGTGAACGGGTCGTAATCCTGCGACGGGTTCATGACCTTGGAAATAGACTCGTAGGCGACGAATTGAGTAGCGGTGAAGGGAACAGTCATGCACAGGGTGGTGGGATAGGAGACGTAGAACGCCTGGAGACCTTCCGTCCGGTAGACGGTTTTGGCGCATTGAACGATGCTCTTATGTACCGAGCCATGGACTTGCATCCGTTGCTTAATGACTGCTCCTGTCAGCGAATTCTCCAGACGCACAATACTCGGTGGAAGCGCGAGTGTCGCGGGGACTCACCATCGAAGGGGTTCATCAAAGCGTCGCTAGCAATGGTCGCGGACGCACCGCTCAGCGCTTGGCACGGTCAGCAATTGCGTTTCGATTTCTCCCAACTCCAGAAAATCAAGGCTCACCTGCTGCCACGGGGTGATGACCATCGTCCACGTTTCCACCGGCCATTTCCTTGACGAATTCATATGTACCAAAGTAGACGGCGTGGGCCGGACCTGGCAGGAAAGGATACAAGTCAGCCTCCGCCGCGATGGAACTAACCGCGCCCACGAAATGGTTGGCACTCACCAGCACCCACGATAACACTCGAAACGCCCTTCCACAATGTCCGCCAGCCCTCAATCCGGTAGATAGTGGAGACCGCATTGGTCAAGCCTGTGTAGAGCCCGCCGGTCGAGGGATGCAGGATTTGCATGCGTGTCTGTACGATACCCCACCATTAGCCAGAGCCATTCGCAACCCGCACACCACTCGCGAAGCCGGTGCAGGAATGGAGCCAGCCATCTCCAACCCGACCATCGGAGACCTGAAGCAACGTACCTTCAACAAATCGACCGGGTACATGACAGAGTGTTCCTAGCCACCAGCCATCAGCACAACCAGACCCTAGCACCAATTCGCCACGTTCATTCCACATACTGCGATTCCTGCGAAGGCGCCAGCCAGCATATTCCGGCCAAGGCCGTAATTCGAGGGAAGGGCTTCATAGCTATTTACCAGCCAGTGTTAGTTGCGCTCATTGTACAGGGGGTGGACTTGTGAATGTCGCTCCGAAATTGACTCGGACGGCGCAATCCGACCCTCGAAGCTGTCCGGTGTAGAGACGGCCCCGTAGAGATCCTTGCGCGAGCTAGCGAACTGCAACAAACAGAAATAGGAAACACCGCGACATACTCATATTCCTGCCCGGGAATCTGCTCGGGGGTCGCCATGGAGCTTTACTGGCTTACAGCACAGCTGTAGTCGATATAGATAAAGGGGGTTTTAAGAGCCGGATCGAGGACAACTCGGGGGTCGGTCGAGCTGGAGGTCGAGAGAGCCGACGCAGAAAAACGGACTTGCGGAGCGGAGAGGAAGACGGACTCCGAGAGGAAGAATATCGGCGGAAGGGGAGACAGCAGACGGAGGACAGTGAAGGAGCAGGAAGGGAGGAGTAGAGAGGACGTGAGCAGAGTCAACCCGAAGAAAAACGGGGAGAAGGATCAATGCCGCGGAAGGAAGAGAGAGAGGAGAGGACTGGCAAGAGGCAGACGAATGATCCTCGATACTAATAATTCTGGACAGCCGGGAATTTCTTTGCTGCTGAAGGTGAACTAAAGGAGCAGTCCGGTTCAATACGGTTCCGTTTGGTCACGGCCCCTGCCAGCGGGGCCGGATGCCCGCTTGAAGAGTGGTATCGTCGGCGTATCAAGACGAACGGCCCGGCGGGAGAGCCAGGGAATTTGCATACGGCAGAGCCAGCGGCCTCCGGGCGCAGCTGCAGCCCAGCTTCAGCCAGAGTTCGTCCGGCTCATAGATTGATAGATTGATATGATTGCTGGATCGCTGGCAAGCCGGACCCAACCCTCCAGTTCTCCTCCTCCTGCTGCTGCTGCTGCTGCCTTCTTTCCTGATTCCGGGTGACTTCTAGCCCGGCCTTGTCATTTCCTTTAGCTTTCCCCTCACCTTATCTGAATAACTATCTACTCCATATTATCCTTTTCCTTCCCCAGTGATTGATAGGTACATCCTTCTTCCTCGGCACCACCAATAGTTAATTAACCTAGCCTAAAACTAACCATTTCTCCCACCGCGGCGCTGAATCAGCTTCCCCGACCTAGACTGCCCTAGCCTTTCCTTCTTAGTAACGACTAAGTACTCCCAAATACCATGTCCAGGAGGCACAAAACCCTCCATCCGATGACGGAGATACCCCCATGAGTAATGAATACTCACCCCCCGTTCCCACCCACATCCTAGGCAAATAATAACCCCGAAAAATTGATAAGGAAAAATAAGAAAAAAAAAAATGAAAAATCAATCTACTAGTCTGAATCAGTCAACCCCACCCAATCACCAGCATTATTCTCCCCTTCTAAAAATTTTCTCTGTCCGCTCTGGTGGTGCCTTTCGCCCACCAGTCAACCGCCGAATCACGGAGGAATCGGTCGCCGCGGAGGAGCCGCGGACGTGCAGATTGATGATCCTGGATCCTTCTGCCCTGCCGTCCGTCTTATCTGATGAGTACTAGATAGTCCCGTATCGAGATACTATGTACTTACTACGGAGCACTACCGCTGCCTGGTTTTGCGTGTCCCTCGGCGTTAAGTGCCATTCTTCTACTAGCTGGTTTTGGGACCGGGACAGCCAGCCCAGTCCAACCGTACCCTACTAGTAGTCCCTAAGGTCTGGCAGACACCGCTGGCTGGCTGGATGATGGGATCTGGCACTAGTGGATCACTGGTCGTTGCTACGTGGGACTCATCGCGCGGATCGTCTCGGTAATTTGTACAGAGGCAAATAAGGCACTCGGCAAGATCAGCTTCACATATATATAGGCAACCATCCCCAGTAGCCAGCGATTTCCAATCTCCCGGTTGGCATACTGGATGCACCCCTCGGTTCTTACAGGCGCCCCCATCCATCCTATACGTGTTCAATCCAAATGCAGCCAACCCCCACCCCGGGGTGGAGAGAGAAAAGAGGGAAAAGATCCATGTCAACTCACATACTCCCGCATCGTATCTGCTAAGATGGAAAAATATAACGAGTACAGCACACGAAATCGCCCAGAAGTAGTTGATACATACAATTAAAGACCATCCAGGAAACATCGCGGACGCCGGAGAGTGAGAGTTAGATGAAAACCATATGCGCTGTCGTCATGCACGTCGTGAAGCTCGTCCACTGGCCGGGGGACGGGTGCGGCCCTCACAGGAGAGATGTCCGATCATTCTATACACTCTAGTCTACCAATCCACATTGAAGGTCCATTCCCCTGGAACGCAAGTCAGTATGTAACCATAGTCATGGGGCCAAAGGACAGGAACACCGTACCATTCTTGAGATTCTCCGCCGTGTCGCTCAGCAGGATCACCCGCCGCTTGTTACAGTACGCCGTCTTGTCCAAGATGTCGACCTTCAAGTTCGCCAGCTCCGGTACGGGCTTCTCAAACATCTCACTCAGGCTTTCTACCGCCATCTCCAAGTCCTTTTGGTTATCCTCGAAGATCTCGGTCAGGTTGTTGCGCGAAAGATAGTAGGCAAAGGCATATGTCCATTTCAGCGTTTGGCGACATTGCTGGAGCGCCTGCGATGCCGTGTCGAGGAACTGTACCTCGATCCAAGAGAGACCAGATTGTGACTGTAGACTCGTCATCTTCTTCTCCGTCTTGAGATATAAATCCTTGTCAAGTTTGGCTGATTGCTCGTGGTTGGCGTATCGGTTATAGTAGTGGAGATACCGTTCCAGCGACGCCCGGGATCGCGCCTGCGCTGTTCGGGCCTCGGATCCAGATTTCTCCTCGAAGCGGTTGCAGTTGTACCAGCTGGTGCCATGTTCGGACCAGAGTCCCATACACATCCAGCAGAACTCATGCTTGCACTTGCGACACGTCATGTGGTTGCATCCACCGTTCTTTTCAATCGTCGAGTGGCACCTGGGGCACTCTTTGGTATTGGCCGATATCCAGTTCGCCGTCTCCGAATCGTCCTCGCATTTCTTCAGCCACATCTTCACCAGCGTACAAGGTGCCGGTTGATGATCATTTAGGGTACACCCGAAGCAGAAGTAGTGCTTGCAATCACATTGCACTGTAGGCACAACGCGACGAAGGTCACGCTGTTTGATAGGGCAATCGACTGCGTATTCACAATTCGGGGCCGGGCACCATTTAAGATTGTCCTTGTCATCCACGTACGTCCGTGTTAGAAGTGCATGATATCTAGGGCCGCTCGTTAGCAAAGGGGTTACGCATAAGCAATCGGGAAGGCACATTGAAATTCTCACCTTTCCTTGAGATCGTCTGTCACCAGAAGACCTAATGACTTCGAGTCCACGATCATATTGCACGAATCGCCCGGACATTCTATCCTGGCGGCTTCACCTTCTCCTCGGATTTTCTGCCTGAGGTAATGGCGATAGCAATCGACACAGAACCGATGCCCGCAACGCATGGCATATGTTTCGAGGTCGTCCCCATCCTCGCAGCAGATGTCGCACACAAACCCTGGTATTACTTCGGTCTTTGGCGTTCCCTCAAAGTTGGTGCCGAGGCCTGCTTCTTCCAGCGTCGTTTCGGGGTGGTCCATGTATGACTCAATCAACTTCTCCCGATTCCATCGTCCGTATCGCAGCAGAATGGCCGACGACTCTGGTGGCAGGCCTAGGATCGATGAGACTTCGTTGATCTGCAGATTCTGTTGCCGTTCGATATCCCCTGGGCTCAAGACATTGAACTCGACCTCGTAGGGCTTCCGTTTCGTCGCGATGATGTCCTTGTCCTTGGAAAATCCGCCATCAAAGTCGTCACCGAAGTCTACTCATAATACACTCTGTCAACATGAATTACAAACAAAACCAAATGATCTGATCACTAACCTTCTCCAAGACTCTCGACGTCACTTCCTTGGGTATCCAGGAAGTCATCCGGGCTAGACCCCACGCTCATGAAGTCCTCATCCGACTCCATGCTGGTAGAGGCCGGGGTATTAAGATCAGGCGACGACGACTTCGCTCGTACGGGAACCGAGAAGTTCCTCGGGGTGGCTGATGTGGAATCCGAATCAAGATTCTGGTCGGCGGGCTTATGCTTTTTGCGGGAGGAATGGCCCGAAGGAGACGTTCGGGTGGCGGCAGGCGAAAGGGCGACGAAAGCCTTGGTGGCGGCTGTTCGGGGTTTGTTATCTACCAGCGTCGCCGCGGCCGCCTTTCTCTTCCTCGTGAGGGGAGGCGTGGTGAAAGCGTTCTGCCCGTGGCAAGCCGGTTTATGTGCTGACGCGAGAAAAAAGGCAGGTCTCGAGATGGGATGTCGAGACCTCTTTATCCCGAGACAACACACAGCCGCAGCCTACCAGTGTAGCAGACACCGGGAGAGGGGGAAGGAGTGGGAAGACGATAAAAGGAAAGGTGTGGATGTGAGGGACAGTGCCGCACTAGCCCTCAGCCGATCGTTGCGTGGATAGTATCTAGCTTATTGACGTTCGTTCAACTGCTGAGCAAAAGGGAGGGGCGGGTGTCACTAACACCCGGACGGACGTCACGGGAAGGCGAGGTGTGGGGTTCGTAAATGGATATTGGATCAGGGGGTTCGACACCGCACACGATCCCTTTGAACGGAAGACGAGTCCAAAGTAGTCCGGCCACCTCTGCTGTCCCCTTCCGACAAACAGGGAGGGAAAAAAGTACAGAGATGCTTTGTGATCGATCGCGGCTCGATGGGAGGGACTTGGCAGGGTCAATTGCAGCAGACGAGCCAGCAAGGGCCCGAGCCCGGAGTGGAAGAACTCCACCAAGAGCCAAACTGTGGGGGAAGTAATCAAGGAACAAGCAGCAGCTGTTCACAGTAGTGGTAGTGGTCGAGCCGTGCACTTCTGGAGGGTCCTTAACCCAGCACTGTTAACCTTGCTTCTCAGGGTTGTTACCGCCACAGTGAACTAAATGATGATGATGGGGATGATGGCCAACAATCCAGCGTAATCAGCACACGTCTCCCTGGGAGGGTGACCGAGCACACAGACCTGGATAACCCTTTATTGGCAGAAGGACTGGACCCGGGCAAGAGGATGAGATCACCGACAAATACCTCAAATGGCCCAGGAGGCAGAGCCATAACCATAATTATATTTGCTTCTTTAGGCCGGCACACCTGACCTCCCCGGCCGCTGCCTGGCCTGCCAGGCACCAATCCAGGCACCATCACCAGCGCCCAGCGCCCCATCGCCCATCACCCATCGCCCATGGCTCGGAACTATTTCATGGTGGTAACCTTCGTCATTGAATTTTAACAACGCTGCGCGGCTGATAGGCCACGAGATCTATATCATCTACTCATCATCTTCATCGCTGTCTTCCTCCTCCTCGCTGCTCTCCTCTTCTTCAGCATTGGCCAGCCAGTCCACAAACTGTTGGGTCTGGCTGCGCACCTGGCGCATCTCCTCACTGGCGCTCGATCGCTCATCCGCCCACCACTGCTCATAAGCCTCCTCCTCCACGATCTCCAGGTCGTACAGCTCCTTGGCCGTGAACAGTAGTACCGTGTCACCACGGTTGCGGTGCACCAGGTCCTGCTGCAGAAGCAGCAGCAAGTCCACTTGGTCGGGCTTCGCGTTGCTGTCCCGGTCGAACATGGCCCGCTCGACAATTTCCTTATACTTGCCAAAGATCTCGCGGATGGCGTCGCCGGCTCCCTTGCCACCCTCCATCAGTTGGTGGATGCGCTTCATGAAGGCCGATACAACTGCCCGTCGGACCTGGTGGTCCGAAGCATTTGCTGTCATGCGCAAACTGACCAACTCGAGCTGTACCACATCGGACGTAACGCCATCTCGCAAGCTGTCGTAGACACTAGCCGCAGCATCATGGACGAAGTGGTCCTGGTCTTCGTCTTCGGACATCGTAGTACTGAAACTTCCCGAACGAGACCGGCCAAATTCGGAGATCTCAGAGGATAATGTCGAGATGGACTCCGTTGAAAGAGACAGGTGCGCCATGTTGTAGACTGCGAGAGCAACATTAGCCGACCATATACCCAGCTTAAGGGAACTGTAAGATAGAAAAAGCACATACCCAACCCAGATGAAGCATTGCTGACTGTTTCATCCTCGTCTTCATCTTCATAAGGAACGTACTCATAACCCTTGCCACCTTCTCCAACAACCTCGGGTTCACTGGCTGGGATCTCATCGTCATCCTCCCGGGGAGCTTTCGTTATGCGTCTTCCATCGCTGACCTTCACACCATCGGCGATCTCAACACCGAAGGAAATCAGAGACCCAGGTTCGATGGTACAGTTCTTACCCACCACTGCCCGGTCAGCGACAATCGCTTGGTCGACAGTCGTTCCATCGCCAATGACCGCACCATCCCAGATGAAGGCACCATCCAGAGTAACATTCTTGCCGATCTTGCAGTTCCGTCCGAGAACGGTGTTCTTGACTGTCGTCTTATCGCCGATACTCGTGCCCTGGCCGATGACCGTTCGCCGACCGATCACACACGAGCGAGCCAGCGTCACGCCCTGTTCTTGATACAGGCTACCCTTCCGAAGCTCGTAGTTGTGGCCAGGAAGCAGGTTGGTGTCGGGGCACAGAGGGTACGCCCACCGCGAAATGATATCCTTACTGACGGCATCGTACGCCTTCAGATTCCTAACCCGGGCTGCATAGTGGTCCTTCACAATGTGCGTGTGGATAGTCTTTCCATTCAACTCGTAGTCTTTCAACACACCAAACAGGAACTGTTTCCGGGGAGTCTGATAATCGAAACTGTCAGACCACAAACTCAGAACATCGGGTGTGCAAATGTCGATGTTGCAGTCGATCAGGTCTTGGCGTAGGTCAATCTCCTGGTGTGTAGTGATGAGTTCGGCGTCGATGTTCAGGCGAGAAGACTCGGGGGAATGTTGATCGATCTCCTCGTAGTGTAGACAGCGGTCCTTGGTGGGGTCGATGACGAAGACGGGCGACACCGACGAAGACTTGGTTCTGTGGTTCCTGCCAGCTTCCCGCAGGATCATAGTCATGATTGCATTCTTGTCGGCTTCACGGCGAGCGCGATGCTTCGCAAGCGCGCCTTCGATGGGCAGGTTGCTGATGACATCGCCGCTGACCACGATGAAATCCCCAGTAATGAGATGCTTGCCGTCAAGGTCACGCATCACATCTCCGACCGATGTCGATGTCGACTTGAGGAAGGTCAACTGCTTGAACGGCGACGATAGCGCTCTCCATTTGGACGCACTGTGCAAGCCTCCTTGTCAGCCCCGATACCGCCAACATGAAATAGTGCCCAACCCCCACTATGAGCCCACATACTTGATATATTTCTCCAGCTGATCCGAATGCGCGCCTCCGTACAGGAAAACGTCTTCGACACCGGCGTTGGCGAGGAACTCGAGCGTGTACTCAATCAAAGGGGTGTTCGCAAGCGGCAGAAGACACTAAATCGCTCTGCATCAGTCCACAGATTCATCTTTGTAGCTTGTCAGTCATGTAGCACATACACGAGGCTTCTCAAGTGTGAACGGCTCGAATCTCGTCTCGAAGGTATCCGCAAGCACCTAGGGCACCGAGTCATTAGCCAAAGCCGACATTGTTCATCTTTGCGCTTCCAAATAGCATACCACGGCCTGCAATGTCTCCTCTACCTCCTCCGTGGCATTTCCTTTCTTTGCCGCGCCGCCTTTTTGTTTCGGGCCCATCTATCACAGCAGCGGTCAGCAATGGTATCGCCGAAATCTGAATGGGCACACAATGCGCACTCACATCGGGTAGGTAAGTTGGTGAGGAGGTCTAGGCTCCCCGCCTCAGTCAAACGGTATAGATAAGGGGGTGGGATAGAAAGCTAGGAGAAGAAACAGCAGGCTCCAGGGATCACCCAGACAATGCGCACAATCCGACAACGGTACACCAAGCGCGTCAACTCGCAAAATCTCCGCCAAGCCCGTCCCTCGGGCGGAGGAGTCAGACTTCATCCCACCTGGACGGTTTGTCCTGTTTGCTAGGCACCCCACATGCTGCCCACCTGGCACGTGAGATTTGATCACGTGATTAGTGCCGTTTCTGGCTTTCAGCCACGGTGGCTGAGCGGCTTGGAGGTCCAAGGGTCCAGAACACCATCGAGGGCCTGGGCCCTCATAGACTCGAAGGAATATCCCTTGTTCAGGGACCGACGGTCTAGAACCTTATCTGTCATGGATAAGCTGATGAACGCAAGATCGTGGGCGACAGAAAGATCGGGTGGGCGGATCGAATGCTGGATCGTATGATTCCCAACCGGTTGGCGGTGGTTCAGGCCCAAAGGTTGCTGTGCGTGTGGCGCGCACATGTCCAGTCTGCCCCTTAGTCCGGGCCCTGACTGCGATGGATCTATTGGAGTACCTAGGCGCTCGAGCTCGAGTTAATAATAGATTGAATTTGGCTCTATATAATCCCACGTTCTGACCCAACAACCCTGCTGTCGAGCATCATGCTTAGCTAAACTGACCCACCGCAAATTGCCCTTCCACACAACAAAGAGCTACCGAGCGCCCCAACAAGTGTTCAAATCCAATGACGCGTACAGAAAGCGATGAACACTACATGCTGCCAGTCCAAGGTCCTCCCTTCCAAACCAAGGTATCTGGATGCCACCTACCATCCACCAAGTACCAGTTTGGTTGTACCGGCCATCCAGGAGAAACGAAACGACGCAACATATGCAAGTAACAATACACGCCCCCAACTCCGGGATATATCGAGAAAGTCCGAAGGATAAAAAAAGATGAACAGGTAGAAGCAGTACAACTCCCCGAGACAACAGTATCGTACGGCTAAGATTTCATAAGAGAAAAAGAAATCGTAAGGCGAAGAGGCGTAGTGGTAGAAAAGGGAGTGATGTGGCAGACGGGACGGAAGGGATTAGAAGAGGTCGTCATTTGGTGTAGAGTGAGGAGAAATATATGAAAAGTAATGGTCCTAAACCTAGCCTGTTCGCGTGGCCTGCATGGGAGTGACGATCGGCTGCGTCTGGTGTGAATACATGCGAGGTCGTTTGGCCATGTTGGGATTCTCAGCAGCGCTGGACATTTCAGAAAGCTGCCGGCGAGGTTGCGGCCTGGTTGCCGCAGGCGCTGCTGTGGTAAGTGCCACGGCGGGTGTCGGATACTGAACCCCAGTTTGATCTACGGCATATGCAGCTGCAGCTGGGGTGGCAGGAACATATTGACTTTGAACCTGCTGGATGTTGGGGGGCACGGCCGCCATTCCTTGGAACTGGCCCGGCGATTGCCAGTTAGTCATTGATGTTGCTGGTGATTGCCCAGGCGAGCTGTCCTCCTTGACCGACTGGGCTGCCGAGCTCTGCGCAGCCATCGTAACCGCAGCCGCCGCGGATGGGGGAGCCTCCATGCTTGAGGGAATCGTCTTCAGGTGCACTAGGTGCTTCTCAAGCATATCGAGAAGACTCTTTCTGGTGAAGGGCTTTGGAAGAACATCATCCATTCCTACACAGCGTTAGCCGTTGAGGAGCGACCGTGAAAGGGGGCCAATCGCAGCGGACGTACCATGCTGGAAGTAGAGCTGGATATCGTCACTCCGAATGTTAGAAGTCATGGCAATGATGGGAGTCCGATCAAATTGGCGAATAAGATGGCATGCTGAGACACCATCCAAATTAGGCATGATAATATCCATGAGAATGAGATCATATTTGGAGCCGTCCTGAATCTTATTAACGGCCTCCAGACCATCGAACTGCAGCACCATTAGTGAACATTCCCTAGCCATTGGAGAAGAACTACATACCGCGGTATCGATGACGCAGGAAAACGAATAGAGGAATTTCCCACCAATCTGGCGACATGTCGCATCGTCCTCGACGAGCAAGATATGCGGGCTGCGGACCCAGCCGGGATCAACATTCGCGCTCTTTTTCCGATTGTCGGGAAACTGCCTACGAGTTTCGTCGATCTCTTGTTTAGGAGGCATCGGATAAGGGACGTTGTTGACATGTTCGCTGTACATCGGATCGATTCCATTAGTAGCGCCGACGGGGTAAACGACGGGTTCGATGTCACCGTTGATCTTCGAATAGACCATGGCGGCATTCGGATTCGGGGCATTAGCAGCGCGCGCAACACCATTACGAGGGGCACCTTCGAGGGCAGGCGTGGCAACTACTGCTGCCGTCTTCGGTGGCTCGCCCATCGACTCCAGGCCAGCCAAGTTGAACTGAATTTCGGCATTCATATCACTCAGAAGTTTCGAAGCATGCTGCAATGGTGACGATGGCTCGTCGTCCATTGACGCGACCTGTGAAGGGCTCAAGGTCGAACCTGCTTGGCCCTGCGCCTGGAAAGGCGCAGCCGCTTTGCTGTCGCGCCTTTGACGGGCATCAACAGAAAGTAGGTAAGTCATCACCTGGTGGATGACATTCTCATGGTTGAGGACAGTTTTCTGCACCCTCATAACCTCCTGCAGCATTAGCTGATGGTCAACAGTCAGCTGAGCGTACCGGTCGGACAAGTGTTGGATTTGTTGTTGCTGCGCCACAATCTGCTGGTTGAGCAAATCTATTTGTTGTGTAGGGACTGACTCGTCGGTGCTCTGGGTCTGTTTGCGCGGAGCCGGGGCCTTCCGTCGAATGTTGTCCAATGACTCCTTGCTGTTCGCCCTGAACTCGGGGTGCTTGAACTCCCAGGCCTGAAATCGCAATTAGAACATGTCGCATCGACCGCCACCAAGCGCGGATTCCTTACATTCTGTCCGTATGGCGATTGTCCATTCTCCTCATTATTTTGCCTCACTTTGTGGAAATCGTACTTGTTCAGTTGTCGCACGAAACTGGCGAAGTTGCTGTGTTTGAAATGTTTTGGAAGGATCGTCTTGGTAAATTTTTCGCACTGGCAGGTCGCAGGTCAGTCACAGTGATTGCGATCGCAGGGGAGGAAGATTCGAGGGCCATACCTCCAAGACCACAAAACTGTCTCCTTCGTCACCCCAACGCACAATTTCCGAATACGACGGGTCCTCCAGCATCCTTGTACACAGGTTAGTGATACATGGTCACATCAACATGCGAAGCCTCTTTGGGGTTCGGCAGAGCGCAGCGAAGTATTAAAGAGCGCCGGGGGGAGCGAGGTGGGAGAGCCGAGGGCGAGAGATCCGGACCACAGAAGCGAGGGTAAGGTACGGGGGGAAGTAAAAGGGGAACACTCACTTGTAGAGTTTCCGTACCTAGACATGTTGTTAGCGACAGAAGTATAATCGCATACAATAAATCCGCGATCATGATGTTCATAACGGTCGCTATCGAGGGTGACACTTACAAAATCGCTGGAGTTGCCCGCGGGGGCGGTGCTGGTCGAGGTCTGGCCACCGTCCATCGTGGGCTAGATGGGTCGCGACCGATCGAACAAGCAACAGGCTCACAAGTCGCAGGGCTTGGGGGAAACGGCGAGGACGGGAAAGAAAACCAGCCAGTCGTCAATTTAACCCGGGTGGCGATGGCGAGAAAAATCGACTGGCAAAGGACAGGTTAATACTAAGACAAGAAAAGAGGAAGAAGAAAAGAAGAGGAATGGGGGAAGAAAGAAAAAAGACGACCGTAAGGTAGTAATCGTGGTCGAGCGATGGTGGTGGTCAGTCAGTCAGTCAGTTCAAGGTCAGTTCAGTTAGTAGGAGGAATGGGGATTAATTAGTCCCCTCCGTTCGGGTTTAGTTCCACTGGCGCCGGTGGGACTGGCTTTCTTGGGGTTTGGGATTTTATTGAATTTATTTTAATTTTCACTTTTTTTTTTTTTTATTTTGGCCGTTTAGTCAGTTAGGTAGCAGACCGAGGGAGGGAAGAGGGGGGGGCTTTGCTGCTGGCTGAAGTGGTGGATGGAGAAAAAAGGCGTGGGTTGGTTCTGGGATTGGCTTTCCATGGCTTGCGCCCATTTGGCAATCAACGTTCACGTTCAACCGCCCAGCGAAAGTCTGTCTTGTCTGTCTGTCTGTCTGTCTGTCTGTCTGTCTGCTTGTTACTGCTGCTGCTGCTGCTGCTGTTGGCTATCTATCAACTGTGGTCTCCAGGTGGGTTCCCCCCGACTCCGTACGTGGTCACTAGCCACAATACCCATCGGTTGGGTTGTCACCTCGTCTCCATCTCATTATTATTGTTATTTTGGGAGGGAGTGTCCCTTCCTTCCATGGCAATTCTTCTTTGGCCATTTCCATTCAAATGCTCCGTTTTTCGGGTATTCTTGAGGCTTTTTCTATGCAGAATGGTTGGGGGGGATGACCTCACGCAAGGAGATCCATAGGAGGGGTAGAGGAAGAATTCCCATGCTAACGCTAACTAACTAAATCTTAGAGCATCGGGTCCAACTAATAGGAAGAGACAACTCAGTAACATTTACGAACAATTATCTCTCCCACCCCCTCCCTCCCAGCCTTCCAAGCCGGTAAGAACAGGTTAGCAAGGAAAAGAAACAAAAATAAAATAAAACAAAATCATAAGAAGATTAACAGAAACCCAAAGTGCAAAGGCACCCCCAAGTAAGGTAGGCACAAGCAAGAGTGACCAGTACCCACTACCCACAGCTTGCTCTGGCGGAGCTACCGGTCCAAAGCTGTCAGTGCGCCTGATTGATGCAGAACCGATGCATGAGAAGGATGGGGGGGAGCCATGGAGATAGGCTGCCCGGGGTGGAGGGGCCCTGGATTCTACGCGGCGATCAACAATGGTATACGGAGGAGGGGCGGGCTTCATTCTCTCGGACCCCGCGGTAACCAACAGTTAGTCGTACGAGGAGGAGGGGGTTTTACTTCCAGGTCTCCAGGTCTCAGGACATGATCTCACCACCCAGTTATCTTCCCTATCGACACTACCACTCCTCTCAGGGGTCGCGATTGCAGCACTAGATGCAGATCGCTCGCTCGCATAGCCGGGCGACGATACGAGCATCGAGAGATGCTGCAAGACAAAGAAAGGCAGAGACGGCCATGCGATGTCCAAACCAGGTCTTCCCAGTTGAGCCAAACGATATGATAGAGATCGGTCCGACTCTTTATTTAGTACAAGGAGACTATGGATCATGGATACGCCACCTCCCGAACATCATGTACTAGTCGAGGGAGCTGGTACTATTAATATGATTAACGACAGTGCCCAACTCCTAAGCCGACTACTCCTGTCTCTCTTCAGTTCTTTCACGCTGGTGAAGCCCGTTCTGGCATTAAAAATCCAATCAGCCAAGGTCTTACATGGGGGAAGAGTCGCCAGAGTCCAGACCCATCCCCGGTCCAAAGCCACCTGAATGCTGCGAATGAACCCTTGCAGTCCGAGATAGACAATGCAGGGTTGTCCGTCGGCGGGAAACAAAGGCTGTCAGAGCTAGCGATCGAGACTGGTCCATGGGATCTCCGGAGTCCATGTCCGCACGGTATGATTGATTCGATGCCGTCTCATCTCCATCTCCGCCCATCCTCCCCCCAATCCTACATTCCGGGGGGTCCGTAGACATGAATCTACCTACTATCTACATAGTATCGCTGTTCTGCAATGGCATCTGCCATGCCTCTTGGAGCTAGCCATTCACGTGGACGATTGCGTGAGACCAAGATGACTGGCCATCCCATTCTACGACAAAATATACCCATCACCCAGTGCACCCTCCCCGGGTCAATCACCAGGCTATTCAAATTCTCAAGATCCAAATTATCATCTTCTGTCTTCCTAGCGAGATGAGTCCCCACGTTCGGCGGCTGGCGTCCGGGCGCTGCAGCCGAAAGTGACCATGACGAAATAATGTTCCGGACGGGCGCCATTAGTATTCTGGAGAAGCTGCGAGGTCCACCAGCTCAGGAACATCAACATTCATCCACCTCCGATCTCTTCTCTCACTTCCTCCTCCCATTAAACTTCCAGTGGCACCTCCCAACTGGAACATCCAATCTCCTCCCGAACACATTCCTTCCCGAATTGTCATCCATTCTTCCTTTCGCCATGTTTGCTGCTCGTCGTCTTACTGCCGGTGTCCCTCGCGCCTTGTCCCAGAGGGCCCTTTTCCACAACACCGCGCCGGCTTTGGTTCAGAAGGGAGACGCCATCCCGGACCTGGACGTCTTGGTTGAGGACTCGCCCGGTAACAAGGTCAACCTCGCCAAGGAGCTCAAAGGAAAGGGCATCATTGTTGGTGTGCCGGCTGCTTTCAGTACGTATCCCTGGTTTGGTACTCCTGGGCAAGAGAAGAAAAGGAGTAGCCGCTACCATTGGAAATCTCCCGTGAGGCTGGATTGCTAACTCTTCCGCCCTTGGCGGATCCCATTAGGCCCCGCTTGCTCCAGCACTCACGTCCCCGGATACATCAAGCACCCTAAGCTCAAGGAGGCTGGTCAGGTCTTCGTCGTTGCCGTCAACGACCCCTTCGTGTAAGTTACGAGCCGCATACGACGCTCCCTATCAATTGGGCCTTATGATTGACTCGACGACAGGACCAAGGCTTGGGGTTCCTCCCTTGATCCCGAGGGCAAGAGCGGCGTAAGTGATACTAGAATCCGAATGTACGAGATACTCAGTGGCACGAGTTAACACCACCTATAGGTTCGCTTCTTGGGTGATCCCTCCGGCAAGTTCTCCGAAGCTCTTGATGTGACTTTCGACAGCGCTTCGATCTTCGGAAACAACCGCAGCAAGCGTTACGCGCTCGTTGTCGAGGACGGAAAGGTCAAGGAGGCTTTCGTAGAGCCCGATAACATCGGTGTTGACGGTATGACCCCAGCTACCGGCATCCCAGCATCCCAGTTGTCTGTCACTAACGGCGATCATAGTCTCTGCGGCCGAGAAGGTCTTGGGCTAAACCAGCCCAGGTTAGCAGCACACCCAGATTGTTATGTATCTAGAATCTTATACATGACAATAGATCATAATATTTATTTTCATATGAGAATCTATTTGCAAAAACCATAGCCAGCGAAATATTAGTCATAACCGGCAGCGCAAAGCCATGATATCAAATAACCCAACGCCCGACGGCATGCCATCCGAGAGCATGTCAATCCCCAGGATATATCCACCTCGGATTCTATGGTTCAGAGCCTAACCCTGGTGCAGCGCTTGCCACTGCTCCGGGGTGTAGCACTTGGGCGTCCAGGCATGGATGGCGGCAATCTCCGCCTTCAAGGCCGAGTTCACCAAGCGATGGCGGGCAAGCATGGTCTTCTTCTCGAACTGGGGGGAAACAATGACGGCCTGGAAAGCCTGTCCGCAACCACCTGTAAACCTCATCGTCAACATCGGGACCTCAAACATTGTAACTATAGAACGTCCCCGCATGGGAACAGCAATTAATCAGCACGGCTCTTCCATACCCGACAAGTCTTCGATCTCAACATGTTGCGCCTGCAACTGGTCGATCAATTTGGCCTTCAGCGAGTCTGCAGTAACGCCCGGGGTATCGGCCATGGCTGCGTTCACTGCTGCGGAAGAGCGCGCAGAGATCGAGAACGGCGATTTGTGATGGACGGGGGTGCGGAGAAGATACCGGCAGCTTCTGCTCAACAGGGTAGTGGTGCGGGAGTACATCAAGCGCGGGCGGGACGGGATCCTCGGTGGGGCGTTATAGGATAAGTGCGTGTGATGTTGATTAGATTATACAGTAGGTCAGGCGACCGAGCGTCGCTGAAGCGATTTGAGTCAGGGTGGAGGGCAGCGCGGTGATGCTTCTTCGTCTGATGGCGGATGACGGAATTCCTCATGCTGGGATTCTTCCTCCCTCCGGTACCGTACCGTAAGAAACGGATTGGTCAGCTGCCAATGTGGCTAGTGAAACTAGTCCGGGAGGGGACTAGATCGGCTGTGGCGCCAGCTTCTCCTCGGCTTCGATGGCATCTCTCAAGCTTCATCTAGTGTCACCTTCGCGGGGTTCCTCGAGCTTAACTTACACTGACTGTTGAACATTCCGGGGTTCCATTGGTCATAAGTCCTACCATCCGCGCACAGTGGCATTGTCTATGAACGCTCTCGGCCGGCATCCTCTTCGCCTATATTCCACGATGTCGGCATCATCCCCCACCTCGTCGCCATTTACGCGGGCCGTGGTGAGCTCCATGCGGAAGCTGTATGCTTGCCGAACATCTACATTAGAAGCGCAAGCTTGCTTATAGCTGACTCCTTTGACACAACAGCTACCCAGAGTCGTTGGCAGATAAGAGCTGGGATAATACCGGCTGTAAGCTCTCCTCCAGCCCATCTCTACACCATCACGTTCCCAGCTCACTCTGTCCTAGTACTCCTTGAAGCGCCCTTCGACCACACCCGCAGACAGAGAAACTCCGCTCTTCTAGCAATCGATCTCACCAAAGCAGTCGCAGACGAGGCAATCGCCCGCCGAGACTCAGTAGTGGTGGCCTACCGTATGCGATGAACCACCACCCTCCCTCTATACACCAACCACTCACTCACTCTCAATCCTAGACCCAATTATCTTCCGCGGCCTCAAATCCCTCACCTTCAACGACCCCCAACAATCAACCCTCCTCCGCCTAGCCCAGGAAGGCATCAGCGTCTACTCCCCGCACACCGCCATCGACGCAACCCCCGGCGGCATGGGCGACTGGCTGTGCGACATTGTCACCGGCGCAATCGCCCCCACGCCCGACACAAAGTCCGCCATCCAAAAGTCCTCTTCAGCACTCTACTCCCACGCCACATTCCCGCAACCACAGCCTTCCTCTCCCGCGACGCCCGTCCCTCACGTCCGAAACACAATCATCCCGTCTCCGCCGCCAGTGCCCGAAGGAATGGAGTCTGCGGGAATGGGTCGCATCGTCACCTTCGACGAGCCACAGCCTCTTACCGCCATCGTAGATCGCATCGCCCAGGGCGTCGGTTACCCCGGCGGTATCCCTATCGCTATCCCGCAGACCGCCTCGGTCGAGGACCTGAAGATCCGGACCGTGGACGTGTGCCCGGGCTCCGGATCTAGCATCTTGCTGAAGGGCACTGGCGGGAAGATTCCCGATCTGCTCTTCACAGGTGAGTTGAGTCACCACGAAGCGTTGGCGGCTGTGGAGCGTGGCTCGGTCGTGATTGCGCTTGCGCACTCGAATACTGAGCGGGGATATCTGCGTGCGGTGATGCGGGAGAAGCTCGCGACTGCGGTAAAGAAAGAGTGGGAGGCTCAGCGGGCAGAAGGTCTGAAGGCGGCTGACGCAGAACTGAAGGAGGTGTTTGACGATGCCGAGTGCATCGTGGATGTCAGTGAGCGGGATCGCGATCCGTATGGCATCATGATCCGACAGGTGTAGAGACCTGATTATATCACTGAGACATCACTCCTACGGAATATATATTTCGTAGACCCATTCAACTACATCTACATTCCAACTACCAACTCGTCACATAACCTACAAGAGATAGTACAGTCTCAAACACAATCAGAAAACATAATATAGACATGCAAACTATATACATATATAACACAACAAAATTCAACTCCAACCTCCCCCCCTAACTCAACAAAACCCTAATCTCCCCAGTAGTTCTAGGGAACAACTTCCTCAACCCCCATTCCACCTCGCCCGCCTCTTCCCCTCCCTCTCCCTCTCCTTCCTTCTCATCACCTTCACCCCTCACAACATCCACCTTACCTCTCGCTTCATCCGCCCCGATAATCATACCCTCTACGAACTCGAAATCACGACAGAAAGCCTCAACAGCTTCCTCCGTCACGCTCTTCACGAAAGTGGCGCTTTGGACGCGCTTCAGGTTATCCGTGGCGTCCATGAGCGCGGAGGGGAGGAAATCGTCGAGTTGTTGGCTGATGGCGATGAGGGCGGAGGGTTGGAAGGCGGGGAGGGTGGTGATGTCGGCTATGTTGGGTTGGGGGTCTGTGGTTCCTGAGGTTGGTGGTGGTGCTGAGGAGGAGGATGGGGAGAAGGGTTCCAGGGCTGTGAGGAGGGTTTGAAGGCCGGAGGAGGTGAGGAGGTAGCGGTGTTGGATTTCGAGGAGGTCCATGCGGAGCGTGGAGAGGGCTGTTTGGAGTGGGGGGAGGTGGGTTGTGCTTGCGAAGGGGTAGGAGGTGATGGCTGTGCGGGTTGTGAGGTGGATGTTGGTTAGGTAGATGGTTTGGGTGGTGGGATTGGGCAGGTCCGCTGCGGAGGATTTGGCGAGGTCGAGGAAGGGTTCCAGGGCTGCACGAAGGACTGGGGTGAATCGGTTTTCCTTGGGGGCGGTGGATTCGTCGTCTGGGTTTGTGGAGATAGGCTCAGCGCCGAATGAGGCCTCGTGGGTCTTCATGAGGGAGTTGAGGACCTCGAGGGCGTCTTGGAGGAATTGAGGCGCAGAGAGATCCGGGGGAGGAGTGAGGCCTGAGTGGTCGACTGAGAGGTTATTGACGTCTTCTTGCATGAGGGTCTCGAAGTGTTTGAAGGTGAACTTTTCGAGAGTCTCGAGCAATTCGGCGAGGTGGGATTGGGAGCCGAGCAGTTTGGAGAAGGTTGTCTGGTAGAAGGAGAGGAGGTTGACGACCTTGTAGCAGGTGACGGGGTCGTCGTGGCCCTGGATGACTAGCTCAACTCGCTGTCGTAGGGCTCGAGAGACGCCAATAAGGTCGCGGTTGACCAGGTCGCTGAGGGCCCTCTGCCCATCAAAAGTGACTTCCTTGTCTTCGTCGATGCGAGACCAGGGCTCGCTGCTCAGACCGGCCTGGATGCCTCTGGCAAGCTCTTCCCCGTCTGCGACAAAGAGGGCCTCCAGTGCCTCCCGTTCGGAAACGGTGGTAGAATGCACCCAGGCCAGCATATCTCCGACGTACCGCAGGGGGTCGTGGGCGGAGAATTCGATCGGCTTCACAGTTTGGTCACCACCTGAACCAGAGACCGCATCCGTAAGGGCATAGTGGAAGGCATCGGAGAGGACATAGTCTCGGGCCTCTGCGAAGAAATCCAGGCAGCTGTGAAACAAGCTAGGTCGCTCGGCCAGGACGCGCAGAACGCGCCGGATAGAGCTGCTGATGCGGGGATCCTCGAGGTTCAAGGACCGGAACTCTTTTTGAATCCACCTGTAGAGTTTCTGGTAGGCGGAATTCAGGCTCCTGGAGCTCTTTTCCATGAGTTCCAGGCCCAACCGCTCGTTCTCGCCCCCCAGCAACACCTCGCAGTCACGGTGCACCTGTTTCACCCGAGCGAGAATATCGAAGAAATGGTCGTCGATGGGCTCTTCGGCAGACGTTAGGATCAGCAGATCCTCGTCAGGGACAATGAAATGTTGAGTGAAGGCCTCCAGCAGCTGTTGTTTGGTCTCCGCCTCTTTCTTCTGCTTCATCAGCGCCGATGCTTCCTCAAGCACTGGCGTTGTCTCCTGCCTGGCCGATACTATGTGTTTCCGCATTTCCTCGCAGGTTTGGTTCAGGTTTGAGATGAAAGTTCCGATTCGTTTCAATTGCTGCGCATTCGGCAGGGTTAGCATCCATAGAAACCCCCAATATCGGCGCATCTCACCTCCGCAACCATGCCAAAGTCTCGCACGATCTCAGCATTGCTATCGACCACTTCTTTCTGAACGTCCAAGCGCAGTTGCCTTCGAACCTCTGCCGTATTATGGATGCCTCTCAGGCTGAGGGTCTCCAGCGCATCGCGAATGTCCGAGTCCGCATACGAGGCCGAAAGTACACTTGTCAGTCGGTTGGACAAGGCGTTCGATCGCTGGTGGATTGGCGGCGAAAGCGGGGAGGATGCCGGCGAGGTCCGAGTGGAAGCATGATTGGAGATGACTCCATTGGGAGGGAAATAACTCGCCATCGGGGGCGATGCTGGTCTGCCTGAGAGTCTGGCCGGGGATGGGCTCTGCGACTGTCCCGCTGAACGGAAGCGGAGGCGGCTGTCGGATAAACACCGCGCTTCCCCGGCCGGGGGGTTGATCCGTCGCTTTCAACCTCACTTTCTCTGGCTTTCCCCTGAGCTTCACTCCGCCTGCATCCCCGTGAGGGCCCAATTCTTCGCCTACTGTCCCACTTTATGGTCGCTCACTCCCAACAAATCTTTGACTCCTCCCGAAAATAGGTTCCATTGCTATGGATAGCCCCCTCGTGTCCCCCGCAAAGGCGCGCCAAGCAGCCATCCAAGCCAAAGACTGGGCCTACGTCAACTCCTGGCTCAGTCGCCAGTACGCACCGAATCCAGTTCCTAGTTTTGAGCGAAATGAAGATACTCTGCGGACCCTCCTAGCCCTGGCTGCTGCCAACGATACTGCGGATGAGGAGGCCACCGTGCTCCACCAGGCTCGCGAACAGGCGGTTGAGAGCTTCAAGGTCCGAGAGGAGGGTGAGGAGAAGCAAAAGGCAGAGATTCTGGATGAGGTGGAGCACAGTCTGGACGACAATGGCAGACGAAGCCTGGAAGATTTGGCGGAGACGACGGCGGTGCTTGGAGCCTTGGGCACAGAGACGAAAGACCTGGGCCAGTCAATCATCAATCTTACGATAGAAGAGTTCAGTATCAAGGACCAGATGTCTAAAGTGCAGGCGCTACATGACTACCTAGAAAGGGAATTGGCTACGCTGCGAGAACAGCTTCACGACCTCAAGACCAACGAGGCGTTTGAGACCCCTGCCAATCTCCCCGCGCTAACCGCCGAATGGACGCGAGAGACCAAATTACTCACCGCGAAAGTCGGCGAGTATCAAGATCGGATCGCTTCCCTACAGAGAACGAAAACCAAGGGACCTACGCTCGAAGAAGTCATAGCGGAAGAAGAGGGGGTGACTCGGGTGCTGGAAAGCACCAGAACCCTAGAGAAAAGGGTCAAAGCGTTCCATGACCTGCCCAAGGACATACCAGGGGCTCGGGTGCAGTACAAGGAGCTAGAGCAGGAACTTGACAAACTCACGCGGCAACGGGATGCGATGTTTGAAATTCTAGTTGACAAGTGAACACTACTGATGATACAGGACATTCAAAGAAATCATGAAATATTGACTAGTATTGAGCCTAGTGAGAGGTGATACTATCAGACTAATTGTATCGTCAACTCATTAATCATAAGACAATCGGCCGAGCCGCCAGCCCATCTTCCTCCGAATCCCATGCATCACAGAACCGCGAAAGTGACCTTGACCTGACTCGTCACACGATTGTATTAGGGGGTCATCACGAGCTTAGTGGTCGCCCAGACCGACGGCGTTCTTGATCTTGTCGGTGCTGCGAGTCTGTCAGTTGATAGCTCAATAGGCATAACAAGATGTTAAGGAATACTGACACAGAGCCGGTGGCACCGCCGTGGGAAGTGTTGTCGTGAGAGCGCTGAGTCTTGTCGAAAGCCTCCTGGGTGCCAGACTTGCTGTCGTCGCCCTGGAAGCCGCGGGCAACACGGTCGCCGGTGTCGGTGACGGTCTCCTTGACCTTGTCCTGGGTGGACTTGGCGGAGTCGGGAGTCATCTCCTCCTTAGCCTCTGCACAGAAGTGTGTAAGCATCATGCAAGCAGACTGGCGGGTACCTGAGCGCGGGCAACATACTGGTGCTGAAATCCTTGCGACCGGTGTCAGACATGTTGATTGTGTGGTTGGTGGTGTTTGGAAAGTGGTTGGTTGAAAGTTAGATTGGATGTTGTAGATTGCAGGAGAGTGTGTTGGATTGATGAAGAATTCTGAACGACGGTGCAAAGGAGGCTTTATATAGCTTTCGAGTTTCTATAATTTGCAGCATGACGTCGACAACCCTGGCTGCGAATTTGTGAACGTGAACCTGGGAAGTGAATGATGCATGGTGTTGCCATGGAAGAGATACCAGCGAATCAACGTCATCATGAGGGATCTACCCCAGTTTTCAATCCGGGCGACAGATCTGGCATGAGCGTCATCGGCCACCACGGTTGGCCGATGGGCAGATTGCAGAAGCGGAGCAATTGCGCCAGCCATGACGATCTGGTCCAGACTTCGACCGCAATGGTTACACTGTGTTGGAGTCGTCATCTGACATGACGTCTCCATGATCGCATGTACTCATTTGCGCTTAGCGTCATCGTCAGCGCCAAGTCCCTCGGATCATTCTTTAAGCGGTCTCCGATGCCACTATGCCTGATCAGGGATAGCATCGCTGGCTCTGGAAACCGCAGGCGGTGTAATGCTGCAGAACCGGGCCAGCTGTTCACCGCCACGCGGCGAGCGCCTTCAGGCCGAGTCTGCCTGTCGCCGTGCCTGACGCTCTCCCTCTCCTTGTGCTTCCAATGCGTTTGGCGCCAACACTCTCTCATCGGGTCCCCTGGACCATCATGTTGATCTGCTCTATATCTATTGTTCCTACTTCGTTTTCGTGATTCTGATCTATAGTTTTCTGCCTGCGCTTGACGTTCTCTGCGAGCCGTCGGTTTTGGATTGTGTCAACCCCGCCTGTCCTGTCTTATCTATCACCGCTCGAGTCGGACCGGCGATAATCCAATTATCTCACCCTCAATCCCACCGCTATACTTGTAATGCCCTCATCGCTTGAGTCAGCTTCAAATTGGGATTTCACTCCGGTGATCAATCTCCTTCGCACGCCGACCTACGGCACCGGTAGCCCGTCTATTCCTTATCGCCACCCTGAGCCCGTCCCCGTTGCCCGGTCTACTCGGGAGCCAAACAGGAACGATGTCTTCGTCTCCGCTGCGCATGCACGCGACGTAAGGCCCGGAGACAGTGGTCCTCCGCGGCTAGGAGATTTTGGTGCTCTTTGGGAACTTCTGGGCAGTACTGGCATTCCGTCCGCTCGCCCACAGGTTGAACCTCGTGAAGTCCCGCGGAGCACCCCTACTCCGCCGCCACAACCCACTCAACGGATTGAAATCCTTAAGCGACCTTCAGATAATCTTCCGGGCCCTGCAGCTTCGGATCAGGGGCCCCTTCGCACACCAGCAAAGCCTATACCTGTTTCCGGTGTCTCTAAGTCCCGTAACTTGCAGGCCAAGGTCACATTCGGGAAGAGCGCTCATAGTAACCGCGATGCTACACTAAGTAAACGCACATATGAATCCAGCACGTCTGAGAGCGCCGTGGAGGCTGAATCCGACGGCAATCTCAGCGTCTTTGATCCCCCTCTGTTGAAGAAGGGAAGCGTTCTGTCGCTGGTCCCTCCGCAGATAGGCACGGCGGGTGCCGTTTCTGATCCATATGAGACTCCGCCATCATCCTTTGACGAGTCTATCGAGACATCTCCATCGAAGACCCTGAAGAACCCTCCTAGCTCCAGCACCATCCGCGTGCAGCCCATCTCGTACAGATCGGCTGCTGATCGGAGGATTGGTCTCTTGACCAAACTTCTAAAGAATTTCCCCGACTACGCCGATGCCGTCACCCAGGTGGGACGGCCTCCTTCCAAGAAGACGGATGTTGCCTGTCGTCCTATCCATGTCTTTGTTGACATGTCCAATGTATGTATGGTCCCATGACGACGGTTTGTACTCGCTAACTGGATTCAGATCATGGTTGGATTTCACGACACCGTCAAGCTATCGCGCAAAATCCCGGTGAAAACACGGATTCGGCGATTGCCTCTGTCGTTCCAGAACTTTTCTTTGATCCTCGAGCGTGGTCGGCCCACCGCCAAAAGGGTTCTGGTGGGCTCCGACCGGTTTGCCGCCATCACCGAAGGCGAGCAGCTTGGCTATGAGACCAACATTCTCGACCGGGTCCACAAGGTTAAGCACATGACTCCTCGTCAAATGAGGTTCCGCAAGAATCCGCGCGCAGGCGCCCACGACCCCGGAAGCGGTTCAGAAACGAACGATGCACTGGGGGAACGCTGGGTCGAGCAGGGTGTGGACGAAATTCTGCATCTGAAGATCCTGGAAAGTCTGGTGGACACGGATGACCCGGCCACCATCGTGTTAGCCACGGGAGATGCGGCGGAAGCCGAGTTCTCGGGCGGGTTTATGAAGATGGTGGAACGGGCACTGACCCGGGGATGGACGGTGGAGCTGGTGAGCTTCAGCCAGGTGACCAGTTATGCCTATCGCCGGAAGGAATTCCGCGCGAAATGGGGGGATCGGTTCCGGATTGTTGCATTGGATGAGTACATTGAAGAGCTGCTTGACATGTAGTAGATGACTTATCTGCTGGCAGGCTTGTTGTTTCTTGGTTGCTGATAATTTGCTGGTGCCTTTATGGTTAGCCATGTACCTAGATAGTGCTTATCACATGGCTTGATATTGACTTGAGTACCGGCTTGTGTAGTGACTAATTAATAATCTATCCGGCTGAGCTTCTAGCTTGGCTAACCTATTAACTACAGCCTAGTACTCCGTAGAGAGATGACCACTAACCATGGAGCCTACCAATTTCACATTTCTGAATACCACGGGCGCCTCGCGTCTCTCCAAGCCCGCCGCGAAGCAGATGAGGGCGCACATCACCAAGACCAATTTCGCAAGACGGCGTCAGCGGATTGCTGACTACGATTGACATATCGCCAGTTAAACCTGGCCAAGCAACCAAAGCCTGTATATCCCCTTTACCACATCCAAAAGACCCTACTACCTCGAAAGCGACTACTAAACCTATAATAGTTCGCAACCTACAAGACCTATCCTTCTTCGAAGGCACCTACACCCCCGAAACCCCCCACGATAAATCATGGTTGAACCTCATTGCCTCAGAACCGGCTCTAATTGAAGCCTTCCTGGCGATCGCCGTACGACAATATTCACCAAGCAGCAGTTGGCAATTACAAGCTGATCTCCACACATACAAAGCCGTCACGCTGATCCAATAGCTCCTGACGTCTACACGGCCGATAACGGATGGGGTCCTGGGGGCGGTTGTTGGTATGGCTCTTGGTGCGGCTCTCGCGCAGGACCAGGTTGCTTGGAATATTCTATCAATGGGCTGGTGGATGTTGTTAGGTCGAGGCGATCGCAGGCTCTGTGGACTGTGCCGTTGTGGTTTATTGATTTTTTGGTTCAGTTGGTATTATTTGCTACTTGTGTGAATCTCTGCTGATGATATGGATGGTAGGGATTCGATTAACAGTATCTTTGGTTTTGCGCGGGTGTACCATCCTAGTATTGTCGAAGCATTGGGGGAGTATGATGGTCAGAGGATCTCTAAGCTGGCGGAGATCTGTGACAAGGCCACTCGACTCCGGGAGGTGATCGAGTCCTGTCACCAGCAGTACCAGTTCGATGCGTGTTTGGTAGCTCAAGGGATTGAAGAGCCTTTCGCGAGCTTGCACTATGAAGCGCGGGCACTCCGGGTGGACAGTAATGCACAAGTCGATGCCACTGCACGCGCGATCGAGCTGGTGCTCTATCTTCTTTGGCCTTCAACGTCAGCAGCTCACTTGACCCTTCTTGCTGCTGAGCTGAAAGATGCCATCTGCCGGTTTCCCATCGAGAGTTGTTACTATATGAATCTGACCTCCTTTCAACTCATGATTGGGGCTATTGCTGCAGAGGAGGGCTCGCTCGTGAGAGCATGGTTTGTCGATCGGTTGGTGACGGCCGTGCGAGCGATGTATTTACATGGATGGGAGGAGCCATTGAGTCTTATGCAGGGGAAGCTAGTGTCGGAGATCGGGTTGAATGGACGATTCAGGGCCTTGTGGAGGGAGTTGCATGATATAGCTGTCAATTCGGTTGTTTGAAGCACCTGAATTCATGCAACAGCAGCGGCTATTCGACCGACTGATCTCAAATCGTGAGTAATCAGATTCAGCACAGCTGGGCATGAGTCTACCAAGTGCAATACTTGATTTCTAATCCTGATTTGATTTATGATGACGCCTGGCTTCAGCCAATAATCATAGCGATCCAGCTCCACGCCGGCTCAGGAATCTAATTTTCCTAATCGGGAAATTCAGATTAAGTGTATAAAGTGAGCCCGCGCCGGTGCTCACATAAATAAATACCCTTCTATCCCCAGGATGAGGACATCTGCACATTTGCAATACAGAGCTCGAGACTTCAGCCATGGCTAGACAATGGCTCTTGACAGGCCAGGAAGGCTTCGAGACATCCCTCCAGTATCAACAGGACATCAACATACCATCAGCTCACGACTTGACCCCCAATGAGCTCCTGGTCCGGATGTACGCTGCGAGTCTCAACTATCGTGACTTGATGATTGCCAGCCCTGCGGTATGCCTCAAGACCCGGATATGCTCCGTGTGCTGATGTGTTGCAGAATTTCAATGGGAGAATTACTCCCCCACTGGTTCCCGCCTGCGATGGCGCTGGCTTGGTAGAGGCCGTTGGATTAGCCGTGAAGGAATTCTGCTCCGGAGACCGAGTGGTCACACACCTTGCTCCTAAAAAAGTGGAAGTCTCCGGCGACGACGCGCCCCTTGGCCTCGTCGATACTGCTCCCGCTCTCGGTCAAGGACTCCATGGCACGCTGCGATCCCATGGCGTCTTCTCTGAATATGCCCTCGTCCATGCCCCAAAATCGTTGGAATGGCTCCCGGCAGCCACTCTGACTTGCACTTGGACCACCGCATGGAACGCCCTCTTCGGATTGAAAGGCAAGGAAGCGGGCCCTGGCTCGTGGGTGCTCGTCCAAGGTACCGGCGGGGCTAGCATCGCTACTCTTTAGCTTGCTGTCGCAGCAGGCGCTACAGTTATCGTGACCACCTCGACCGAAGAGAAAGCCGCTCGTCTCAAAGCGCTGGGCGCGACTCATGTGATTTCGTACCGGAACAGCCCAACCTGGGGCGAGGAGGCTCGCCGACTCACTCCTAATGGACGCGGCTTTGATTTCGTCATCGACGTTGGGGGCAATCAAACGCTACCACAGTCTCTGGCGGCGGTGCGGGTCGATGGGATTGTGCTGGTTGTGGGAATGCTCGGCGAAGATGCTGCGTCGGTGCCGATGTATGACGCTTTGATGCATACCTGTATTGTCCGTGGTCTGTTGGCAGGTAGTCGCAGCCAGTTCCGAGAGGTTATCCGCTTCATTGATGAGAAGGGGATTGTACCTGCGATGGATGAGGTGGTGTTTGAGCTGGCGGAGGCAAAGAGCGCGTATCGACGGTTAGAGGAGAAGCGGCATTTTGCGAAGGTTGTAATTCAGCTTGGCCCTTCTTGTGTATGACTTATATCGTTGCAACGGTACTCGAGAGTTCATCGTATCATATCGTTATCAAGCTGAACCATACATACTAAAGTGGTAGAAGTATACAACACGGCGGACCAACCAAGACCCCGCCGCACCCCCACCATGATCATCTCCAAAAAGTTCCGCGCAGCTGAGCTTTTGCCCCTCCATCCTAACCCTCTTCCTACACAATCATAACCCACTCAAAGAACTACCAGTCATATACACATATACCCACAAATACCACACTACATCATACCAACAAACCACCCCAAAATGACCACCTACACCCCCCAACCCCTCTACGGTGGCGCCATAAAAGGCCTCATCCCCGAGAACTGGATCGACGCAAGGTACTCTCCTCCCTTCCCCACCCCCTTCTCTCTACCCAACTAGCAACTAACCAAGCTAAAAAAAAAAAAAAAAACAACAATAGTACCCTCCGCCAAATCCCCGACCACCAAGAACTCTACCTCTCGCCCACGACCCTCTCGACCCTGATCTACGAAATCAACGAATACGTCCCTACCAACACAAGTCTTGAGACTCTAACCCAATATCCACACCTGCTTCCGTCTACGCAGCAACCTTCCCAAACCCCAGAGGAAGAAAAGGAATTCCTCGACCGCGCGGCGGTCATTTACCACCTCCTTGATCTGCTGGATGAAGGCGATGACCTAGCTATCCTTGCTCCACCGACGAGAGTCACCCTGGGGGGAAGGGGCATGGAGGGGAGGGGGAGGGGGTATATGGGGTGTGTGGAGTTTAGGTCTAAGTCTAGGAATGGGCAGGGGATTGGAACTAAGTGCTGGTTTTTGGTGGTGAGGTTGGAGGAGCAGGGAAGTGATCTGGTGGTTTGGGGGAATGTACCTGGGGGAGAGTTGGAGGGGGAGGGGTTGAGGGCGGAAGAGGGGGTTATGGAGGGGTTGGTAGGGGGGTTGGTGCGGGAGTTGGAGGTTGTGGAGTGGGATTTGTTTGGGTAGTGTTTCTTTGGATTAGGGTGTTATATGGGTGGGTTGCTTTGTTGATAGGTAACTGTTGGGAGGCGATGTTTGATATGATACCATGCATGCATGCTTACTTATTTGTTTGAGTGATGGAAGTGAGTTATGTGATTGAATATTATGTAGATGATATCCTAATATGTATGGTGTGCTGCACTACTGTTAGATACAAACCAGCACAGAATGGGAACAGCAGGAAATATGACTAGGCATTTACTACTTACTACTACTGGAATAATCTACAGTCAGACCCGATTGAACATCAATATACAGTCATCCTATTTACAACATCCAATGAGCAATCTAGCTGTACAATACCAGCCAAAATAGAATCAACAGAAATAAGCAGTCGCTAAATTCAACATCAATCATAAATTATCCATCCACAGGCCATCCCATCAATACCCAGTCAGATCAATCGTCTTCTGTTCCGCCTCCTTCATCACTCGGGCCACCTCGTTCACGAGCCCAGCCGTGGGCTTGAATGGCGTCGCCTTCTTCAGCGGTGAAACGTTCCTCGGTTTGGGCTTGATCTGCTGTAAACGACCTCGGCATGCTCCGCAGCGAGCCTTCTGCGTGTCGAGGCTTTTGGAGTGTCGCCCATAGTCATAACTGCAATCGACACAGCGCCATACGTACTTGTAGTCGATCTCATAGGTATGTCGGCTGGTGATTTCGATATGTTGGCCGTAAATGGGATGGTCCTTCAGTGCCTTCTCAACCTTGTGGGCCCAGTTGTAGAAGCTCTTTCCGTGGGGGTTATTCGTCACCCCCGATATCATGTAGTTGGCCAGATGACAGAACTCGTGGGCTAGGGTTTTGATAACCCGGTCTTCGGCGTCGATGATCTGCGACGAGAGCTCGATCATGGCACAATGTTTCCCCGGCTCGACTTTTCCATAGTGCCAAGTTGCCCGTCCGGCAGTTGTTCGGAAAGTCTTCCAGATAATTGGCACACCACCTGTCGCCTCCGTAAGCCGGTGGATCTGACCTCCGGTCACGGTGTCGTCAAGAACCTTGAGAAACTCTTCGGCCATGGCGTGTCTCTTCTCGAGGAATTCCTGCTTGCGCGCTTTTTCAGCTTTTCTCTTGTCCGCCTCCGCTTTTCGCAGCGCCGTCTTGCTGGGGGTCTTGGTAGCCGTCTTAGTAGGTGTCTTGGTAGGCGTCTTGGTGGCTTTGGGCACGATCTCCGTGTCGGTGGCCTCGGAACCCAACTCTTCTATCTTGACCGTGTACCTTTTCTTCTTCACGGCCTTGAGCATGATGTCCGTGTCGAGGGGCTCAGCTTCCGACTCGTCGAAATCCTGCAGCAGATCTATCTTGCGCGGAGAGTACTGATCGACCCAATTGTTTGTCGTCTCTTGGCTCCAGAATGCGTCAACGCTTTCCCGATGTGGTGTCGGCGGTATATGGACCTTGAACTTCGTTGGGGATCGGAGAGAGCGTTTCGAAGGACTAGATGGGGGAGTTTCCAACGGTTCACCCTTGCTGGTTTGTGGCTTCTTCGTCGGAGAATCAGTTGGCTCGATATCCCTGTGGATGTCAGTATGATATATCCTTAGGCTATTCCCTCTACTCACCCATCAGGGCATTGTTCCCGCTGACCGAGTTCTCCATTGTCCAGCCTCAGGTCATTCAGCTTCTCCAATACTTCCAGCTCATTTTGAAACAGTTTCTTAGGCTTTGGATCTAATTTGGGGACTTCCCGTGTCATAGTTGCCGGTAGAGACGGTTCCAGATGGAGACTTTCCTTGTCAGAATGATCCTGATGCGTAGGCTCTGTTTCTGCATTAGGGCGTCTTCCTCTCATCAGTCTCCTTTTAGTCCTGGGCGGAGAAGGCGTTGGTTGTTTCTCTTCTTCTTCGAATGTTTCACCATCCGATGTCTCATGGTAGCTGACATCTTCATTGTCACTGACAATGAAATCGTCCATGGAGTCAAAGCCATTCTCACTCTCGTTGTCATCATCGGACTCCGACTCCGGTTGCAGAGATCCCCAGTATCTGGTCCTCGACCTGCCTCTCGGTGGTATTTGTCGGGCTATGCTCCGCGCAGGGGATCGATTCGAAGCATTCGACGAATTCCTCGAGAGAGACGACCCCTCATCTTCCTGCTCCTCCCCATCGATGGGATCATTTTCCTTGTCATAATTATAACCCACCGACTTGCGCGGTGGCCTGTTGCGCGGTTGCTGCGACAATGGAAGCAACAAAGAATTGACCTGCGAGAGCTTCAAAGGGTCCGTTGTTCGGTCTTCGGTCGACAAAGAGCGAGACGACGAGAAGCTGCTGTCTTCGGTTTCACTCAGTCCATCGCTTTCGGAAAAGATATCGAATGTTCCACTGGAAACCGTGCCGGCCCTTTGTGATCTATTCTTCGCCGGCAAAGGTCTTTCAATTGCTGCGGTTGTAGAGGTCCTGTTCTTTGACCATGTCTTGTCGATGGCGGCCCATTGTTCCTTTTCTGCCTTGTCCTTCTGAGTAGACGGTGCCTGGTATCTGTCTCTGTCCTCGCGCTTGATCGTCGCAGTTCGATTGAGTCGGTTCTGGGGAGGTGTTCGGCGCTCCTGTAGCTTGGCTGGCTTGACGGGACTGGCGGGGTTGAGGCGGGCCATGTTGTCGGCGGTCCCTCCACCTCTGCGGCAGGTGATGTGAGTTGTCAAAATGCACCTGCCAGAGTGCCGGTGTCGGGTCGATTTATCTGCAGGATGCTAGAGTGTATGTACTGTACCTGCGTGCGAGCAGCTGAGAAGTATTGATAGACGGTGAGAGACATGGTTGGCACGGCAACGGCTGGTACCACAGGAACGGGCATTGGGGTACTTTGGGTTTGAGGTTCCATGGCGTCGAACTACGGTCGGTATGAACATGCTATTGGCATTGTCTATCTATCTCTCTCTGTCTCCCGGAGGGTAGGTACATGAGAGATTCAGGATAGAAATACAATCTGCAAAAATATAAAAAGAAGTTACTAGGCCCGAGCCGCGGATCGAACGCGGGACCTCTCGCAGATATGCTTGGGTTTGTAGGCGAATGCCATCCCTAAGCGAGAATCATACCACTAGACCACCCGGGCTTGTTATATGTTTCGCTTACTGGTTTTTAATCTATTAGCCTAATTTTCTTGACTTGAATGATGACGCACCTAGCACTTCTAGGTTCTGCTCTCTGGTTGTCCCAGCAGGGCCCAATCCCAAATATTTGAATACTGTGTTCCTCATGTTCCTTTGGCTGCTGTGCTTATTTATATCTTCACCAACCCTAGTTCGTCATCATGTTGTCGCGACATATCGCGGCTTAAGCATAAGCGTTGTTATGTATATTCACCCCCCTCCGCTACCCAAGTTTGTAGATAATTGTGGACCAAGGTGAAACCAATCATCCACGATCATGCTGATAGAGTCAGAATTGCATATAAAGTGAAAGAGCCCAGAGTCCCATGGGTATGAATACGAGCGCACCATAGCGTATCTGAGCGGCGACTATATATCCTAACGGATACCCACATAGTTTCTAGGAACAGAGCACTTCCACACCAATAGATCAGCATGAAAGGCCTCGACCATAATAATTGAGATGCATAGGATAATGCTGGAGACGCAGAAACAACCCATTCCACCGAGTCTTCCATGATCAGGGCCCAGACACTCATTGAATCCGAGTGACGTTAGATCTGAATGCTAAGACATGGGCAAAAGCCTATCTATACAGTTGCAGGCGCATCTTGGATTACCAAGCCTGCGTAGATGCCTCCCAGGACCATCTTTAGATAAATTAAAACTAATCTTATACCAATGTTTTTTTAAAAGAGAATCACCAGTTTCTCTTATATTTACTCATTCTGGATAAATTTCATCACAACGATTAAAACAATCACCTATAAAAGGGAGGACCGATAGAAGAAAACAAAGACGTCGGAAACTCTCATACTTGCAGAAAACCAGACATACAATCCACTACATAGCCCACGAGACAATAGTGCACATGTATCATCATCAATACCTGGATCAAATATAATTAGACTATGTGCATAGATATCGCTTTCCATGAATGCATGGAAGAGCACACACACTGAAACTAAGAACAAGCACATATACCTAGAGCACGGAGCGCCAATTGCCGGGTATAAGTGGAAAAAAGGAGATAGTTCAAGGGCAGTAGCCAAATGCGAACACATGTAGTATAGGCCCAGAGTCTATAATGGGACGTCATGTCAATAATGCCGTGCCCATTGCCGTAGGCAGACGCGAAATATCAAGTTACTGGTCAGATGGTTTCGAGCTTGTTAAGAAGACCGAAGGGCAAAACAACTGTTCCGCACAATTGATTGCAACCGGGTTATAGAGCAGCCAAGTATCTATAGATCCTAAGGATATCCCAACCATGAGAACGAGTCGCCCTCAGGGCAAAGGACACTATGAATGCTACAGTATAAAGCAGATGATAGGCTTGCCTAGATATACCCAATCATGCACATTACAGGCACAAACTGAGGACAAAGATACGCTCTCTGCAAGCCAGATGTAATACGACAGCCCCTGGATCAGTCAGTAGAGCGTCATGACAAAAGCTCCGAAGCTCAGGCATTCGCTGGGACCAGAGAGCAACTGGCACCATCACTGTCATTGTGACTGAACGCCAATGCAGCAATCGCCACTCGAAGGGTAACCCAGCCGACCACCACCTGATGGCATGTACAACATTGCAGAGCTCACGATGCCAGAGACATAATGACCTCATGTAGCATTCGAGGGGTATCAAAGCAAGCTCAACCAAGACCGTACGTGCACATGCACACAAGCCAGGTCACACCATGATCATCGAGTCCGAGACAGAGTGCCTGTAGCCTTGTACAGTCCAACGAGAAGCAAGCTCAGCGTGTGATCAAGTCTCGGGATGAGTGTTGCCTCCACTGTGCAACCAACACATATGCATATATCCCACAGGGCCACAACGGCCGCAAGTCAACTGCCGAATGCGGAGACGAGCTATACTCAGCCTGCCTAAAGCATCGGCACCGGTCGTATGCTTCAATGTAAGGTTGCCATTAAAGTTTTAACTTGCCGCACTCTGGATCCGATGTTGCCTCGAGACATGCCGATCTCGAGTTTCAAGGCAAAGGACCCCCGAGAAGCATGACATCGAATATTGATGTGGCGAGGTTACTCGTAACTGAGACCGTCGGTGGCAGGAAGTGAAGCCCAACCCCTTCCCCCCATGTAGTTGACGGTGAAGTATGATGATCCCTCCCTTTCCGTCCACAGAACGGCTCCAGGCCCAGATACATTCACTATTGGGGAAGCCGAGCTTGGACGGAGAGACGCCTAGACTTCCCCCTGTCGAGCCCCTCGTCTTCGCAGTACTCCGTACTGTAGATATAGATAGACCGCGGCAGCAAATGGACTTGATAGGAGGCCATTAGTGCCTGGTGCGGGCATTAATAATATCCATCATGGGCGGGCAGTCATGCGGTGTACGTCGGAACAAAAGATACCATTTTACCAAGTAACAAAATCCGTTGGTGGGCTAGTGGTTATACTGTAAGACGGAGGACTGGACGATGATTGGCACAATAAGGAGGAAGATAATGGGGGAGCCGGGGTTCTAGGTCGGGCGAGATGGAACCTGAAACCCCCCTTTTTTTTCGAGCGGTTCCACGTCTCCGACCAGGCCGGCCCATTCAATCCGTCGACCTTGGCCGGCGTCAAGGAATCGCCACCCGTTGGCTTTTGTCGGCCTGCGTCCCCCGATTGGCCGTCGCCTGCATCCCAGCCCCCATGCATCCCACCGCCACCTCTGTTTACGGATTGGCCCATCGACGCCCCGATGAAACCTGTAAGTTGGCCCGATCCTGATGGGTGTGCATGTTGCTGGCAGCACTTCAAAGTTCAGCAGTTCAAGCAGTCTGCTAAGCTGGAAATGGTCTCCTCGTCTAGATTACAGTACCATGCCTCGTCTGTGCGATACCAGTACTCCATACACACTTGATTACAGAGCAGAGAAGCCAAAAGAAGTTTACAATCGAGTAATTCTTCAATAATTCCTGCTGAATGCTTGTGAGCTGACTGAGACATCAATGCATATACACTTATACTTAGAACAAAACATATGATCATGAGGGGCGGATAAGACACCAGGTTCCCGGACGCCTGCAAGGGCAGGAGTTGATATCCAGTAGAAGCCGTTCTAGGTTTCTCGGCGTTTTATGATTGGGGCAGCGTCAGATCCCGTCTGAAAGTACCGAATACTTAGATACCGCAAAGTAGTTCTACTGACCTCTGACGGTCGGATCATCTGTGTTTGAAGGCATGACCTCATCGAAGTAAATCTCTATCTAAATCATTAAATCTCTAAATCTCTGAATCGCGATTTATCCACATCCAAGACCAACCCGGGGAACCACAGAAGAAGAATGAGACATTCAGATTCAGAAATCAGCTACCGGGGGGCGCGGTGGCTGGAACCACGGCTACGGGTTTGCTTGCCTCGATCTCGATACACTGATTATCATATTTTTGGAAACCTTCTTTGGTGCGGCTTGCATCAATCAGTCAACCGAATAGGCCATGTCATGGCGGAAAAATTCTTAGGAACAAGGTCTTTCTTGCGTACGACTCTTAATGCAACGGTGTCTATCTATGTCATCCACTACGCACCTCTTCAGCACGTACGCTGTAGGATGCACAACCTCACGTTCAGCCATCTCCTTACCTACGGCCCGGTACCCTTCTAGAATCTCTTGGTGCGCATAGAACCAGTACCCACGGAGTACTGCCTTCCTAGCGATGAGCGTAAATGTGTTGAGGTGAAGTGGTCGGATGCTAAGCACCTAGTGTGTATCCAGTATCCACCGGGTTTTCCAGCCTTCAACGCGGAAGGCTGGGAAGGCAGACCACATTGTCCGTCGATCATTTAGCCTGATTATCTGCTATGGCTTTCGGGAGTCCAAGATAACCTTAGTTTGCCAATCAGCATCCAGGATTTATCGGGTTCTTCAAGGAACAAAAGAAGGCACCGAAGAAAAGCAAGAAAAAAGCCACTGCGACCAAGGCTGAAAGTTGGGTCTAATCGTGGTGGGGGGTTCGCTTGCCTCGAACACTCAACCTTAGTGGTTTGATGCTTACATTATCTTGGAACGGGTCACTTGCTTATGTGGTGTCAACGCATGTTTGCTGCATTACGGAGCCCATGCGAGTAAGGTGGCTGACAGGTAACAGTGTAAATTTCACTTCGGACCCATGAATTCAATACGCCGTATCAACAACAAGGATGACAGGATGTCGAGGTACGGAGTTTTGAACAGCCATTGATATCACCATCCCCTTGTGAATGATATTTAAACATAGTACGGATTATCATACTATAAGTTGGGAGTATCTGGCGATCTTCAGGATTCACCTTCCAGAGTTCTAGCCCATCGTAGGATTCCTCCAGCTCAGGGAACCGACATAAACACCACCACCTCAATCGACATCCTCAACATGATGAATAGCTGCCCGTGGCTGGGATAGTAGGTATGTGGTGAGTTCTCATTGTCATTTGCGCCCAGGAATGAAAACAGACCCATGCAGTATTATCTACCCCATACTCTACATTCCTTTGCGGGTTACTGCGAATGGACAGGTAGCCTTTAAACAAACCTTGAATGAACATCTATCCATCTCACTGACCCCCAAGACCTCGATTGCCACCCCGATGGGGAGCCACA